TGATTCTGTTTGTTTGGGAGCCAACAATAATCGAAATGGAACCAAGTCATAAAATGCAAATATGGGGCCAGAGTGATTATACAGCAGGTAGGACACTTGCCTTGCATGAGACTGACCTGGCCCAGGACCTCGGGCCCACTCCCACCTATGTGCCCAGGGGTCTCTGTCAGGACTCGGGGACCATATGAGGTGCCGGGGATCAAGCTAGATCTCCTGCATGCAAAGCAGACACTCCAGCCCTTTTAGTTATTTCTCCAACCCCAGACTTCATGATTTCTTTTGTTAGTTTTATGATTTATCATGGAGTCACAATATTCTAGAATTTCATAGGTTTCGCTCCATATTTTTATGTGTATACCATACCCCCTGCCATTCTATCACAAGTCCAGTGCCATCACACCACCAAAAAGAACCTCCACTTGGGTGGGTGAGGCCCATCCCCACCCGAGGGACCCACCCCCACCCGAAAACCTCCAGAACTGAACTGCCACCATGCTCCAGCCACTCTCCACACGCTCAGGCTGAGCCTCGCCCATGAGTAAACCTACCCCTGGACCGTGTGACATCTCATACCTCACACCATTCATACTCCAAGAGTAGCGTACCACATTTGATGGGGTTAAAAATAGAAGGGCACTAATATTAGAGAGAAATATATTTTTACAGATATATATATATATATATATATATATATATATATATGGCTGGAGCGATAGCACAGCAGGTAGAGCATTTGCCTTGCACACGGCCGACCCGGGTTTGATCCCTCCAGCTACTGAGAGTATCCTGCCCACACAGCAGAGCCTGGCAAGTGATGTAATCTATATGCCAAAAACAGTAACAACAAGTCTCACAATGGAGATGTTACTGATGCCCACTCGAGCAAATCTATGAACAATGGGAGGACAGTGCTACAGTCACACACAAGGCTCAGCTCTTAACAACATATTAGTATCTCTTATAGAAGGGCTTAATGGCCCCTGGGGGAAATACAACAATCTTCACACACTCTCCTCTAAGGAAAGTTTTCTGGAGCATTTTCAGTGGTTTTTTCATAACAAACAATACAAAATAAAAATGATTTCAGTTCTGCTTTGGGGCAGGGGTTGGGATTCAGGAAACATCCAAAATATGAGGGTGGGCTTCTGGGAATATATCCAAGGATGCAAAAATGCACAGTAGAAATGACATCTGGGGGGCTGGAGTGATAGCACAGTGGGTAGGGCGTTTGCCTTGCAAGTGGCCGACCCAGGTTCGATTCCCAGCATCCTATATGGTTTCCTGAGCACCGTCAGGAGTGATTCCTGAGTGCAGACCCAGGAGTGCAATATCCGGGTGTGACCCAAAAAAGCAAAAAAAAAAAAAAAAGAAATGATATCTGTACCAATATGTTCATTGCAGCACTGTTCACAATAGCCCAAATCTGGAAACAATCCAAGTGCATTAGAACAGATGACTGGTTAAAGAAACTTTGGTACATCTACACAATGGAATACTATGCAGCTGTCAGGAGAGATGAAGTCACGAACTTTGCTTATAAATGGATAGACATGGAGAGTATCATGCTAAGTGAAATGAGTCAGAAAGAGAGGGAGAGAGGGACAGACATAGAAGGATTGCACTCATTTGTGGAATATAAAACAACATAACATGAGGCTGACACCTAAGGATAGTAGATACATGGGACAGATAGATTGTTCCATAGCTGGAAGCCTGAGCAAAGGGGAGAAGGCAGCTGAAATAGAGAAGGGATCACTAAGAAAATTATGACTTGAGGAACTGATTGGAATGGGAGATGTATGCAGAAAGTAGATAAAGGACCAAATATGATAACCTTTCAGTGTATGTATTGCAAACCATAATGCCCAAAAGTAGAGAGAGAGAATGGGAAATATTGTCTGCCATGAAGGCAGAGGGAGGTTGGGAAAAGGGGGGTATACCGAGGATATTGGTGGTGGGGAATATGCACTGGTGGAGGGATGGGTGTTTGATCATTGTGTGATTGTAACCCAAACATAAAAGCTTGTGGAGGGATGGGTGTTTGATCATTGTGTAATTGAAACCCAAGCACAAAAATTTGTAAGTCTACAACTGTACCTCATATGTCTCACTAATAAAAAAATAAATAAATAAAATAAAAGCTTGTAACTATCTCACGGTGATCCAATAAAATTTTTTTAAAAATATGGTGGTGGGAAGATGCAATGGTGGTGGAATTGGAGTTTGAATATTAAATGTAATCGAACATTGTGAAGGACTTTATAAAAATAAATTTAAATTTTTAAAAAAAGAACCCCCACTCATTCCCCCTGCCCACACTTCTCCTTTTCCTCTGGTTTTCACCAAATCTAGACATTAGTTGGTGGTTTTGCTGGTTTTCTTTAGTTATATTCCCCGCATAAGTAAAACTAATAATTGTCTTTGGGATCATTATTTTAGTACCATTTTGTCCCCAAATGCATGACTTTCTCTTTTTATTTTTTCCTTTCCATTTTTGAATAAGACAGTGGTACTCAGGAATTACCCCTGGCTCAGGCTCAGTGCTCAGGAATCACTTCTGGTGAGGCTTAGAGGACCATATTAGGTGTTGGGGATTAAACATTGTACCCAGATTGGCTGCGTTTAAGGCAAGCAACTTACCCACTGTACTATCTCTCTGCCGGCTTCTTTTTTCCCTGTATTCTCTCACTTCATAAAAGCCTGGTAATAGTGTAGAGATGACTCGGTCCTCTGTCAACCTTCCTTTTTTTTTTCAAATAACTGACTGATGTTCTATGGAGCATGACAGACCACAGCCTTCTTATCTGGGCAAACACTCGTCAGGAGGGCAATTTGTTTGATTCCATGTTTTGGCTATTGTGAAGAAGACTGCTATGAATACAGAGTTACAAACAGCCTTTCTAAGTAGTGCTTTCATATTCTTCAATATATGCCAAGAAGTGGTAGTGCCCAATCATAAGAAATTCCTATTATTTATTCATTTGTGATGCCAGAGAGAATGCAAGTCATTCCAGTGCTGTGCTACATTTTAAGAATTTTAAGAGGGGCCGAAGCAATAGCACAGCGGGTAGGGCATTTGTCTTGCATGCGGCCAACCCAGGTTTAATCCCCGGCATCCCATATAGTCCCCCAGCACCGCCAGGAGTAATTCCTGAGTGAAGAGCCAGGAGTAATCCCTGAGCATCACTGGGTGTGACTCAAAAAGAAAAAAAATTTAGAGAAACCCCGTGTATCAAATTTTCCCATTGGTTTGTTTGTTTGTTTCTTTATTTGCTTTTTGGGTCACACCTGGGGATACAAGGGTTATTCCTGGCTCATGAACTCAGAAATTACTCCTGGCAGTGCTTGGGGGACTATATGGGATGCTGGGAATCGAATCTGGGTTGGCCATGTACAAGGCAAATGCTCTGCCCGCTGTGCTATCGCTCCAGCCCATTGAGTTATTTTTTAAAAAGTTTTTGTTTATAAGGGTCACAGTCATAAATATTTGGGTGGGGGGGACATGTGGTGTCAAGAATTGAATTGAGTGGGCTGGAGCAATAGTACAGCGAATAGGGTGCTTGTCTTGCATGTGGCTGACCCAGCTTTGATCCACATCACCCCAAATGGTTCCCTGAATATCACTAGGAGTGATCCCTGAGCACAGAGCCAGGACTATGTCCTGAGCACCATTGTGTGTGGCTCAAAAACAAAACAAAAAAATTGAATTGAGGATTACAATTTTAAGCTATTTCCTTGGCTCTGACTCCTTTTCTTTTTGGCGGGGGTGTCCACAGGCAGCAGTACTCAGGGCTTCCTCCTAGTTCTGCACTCAGAAATCACCCCTGGAAGGGCTAGGAGGGAGGTGACCATATGCAATGCCAGGTGTCAAACCATACCGGATCAACCACGTTCAAGGCAAGTACCCTACCAGCTGTCCTATATCGCCAGACCCATCCTGTATTTCTTATATCTGTTTCCCCCCATTAAATCTAGACACATATTTCCTGGAGGTACGGAACATTTAGCGGTGTCAGGAAATCTGCTTGAGAAGACCAGAGTGGTAGTACAGCAGGTAAGGTGCTTGCAGTGTGCATGGCAACCCAGGTTCTATCCCTGGCACTACATATGGTCCCCTGAGCCCACCAGGAACGATCCTGGAGAACAGAGGCAAGAGTAAGCCCTGAGCACCAACGATGTGATGTAAGGGGGTTGGGGGAGAGGAGAGGAGAGGAGAAGAGAGGAGGGGAGGGGAGGGGAGGGGAAGGGAGGGGACGGGAGTGGAGGGGAGGGGAGGGGAGTGGGGGAGGAGAGGAGAAGAGAAGGATCAATTCAAAGGGCTAGGGCCATGTAGATCCAGGTTCATGGTCTGCGCGCAGAACTACAGCCAATCCAACCGCAGTTTGTTCGGTTTGGGAATTCATTATCTCCTCAGTAAGTCTTCAGTAAGAGACAGAGGCGGCAGCCCTTGGTTTTCTGAACATTTTCTAAATACTTCTCTCTTGAATGTTGGATCATGGGGTGGGAATGAGCGGAGGGAGGGGGGATGAGGATAGGAGGTAGTCTGTGCATCTGTCTCTGTTAGTAAAACACGGCATTTTCTGGATCGGATATGGGCTTCTTTTTTTCTCACCTCCACTGTGCAAATTTTCTAGCAATGAGGTTCCGGGAAACGCCCGCCCCCAGCTGCAGGCCAACAGGAAACAGAGTGGCCGGAGCTGGGGCTGGGGCCTGACGGTTGAGGTTCAGGGTGTGGAGGCCGGGCGCTTGGGGGTAGGGAGCAGCTCTGCCCACTGGGGCGACGCGCCCCCGCAGTTTCCTGCGCGTCCACCAGAAGGCGCCGGGGCGCTCGCACAGCCCGCGAGCAGCCCGAGCCCCGCCGCACCGCGCCCGGAGATGCAGAGCCCCGCGGCCCCCTGAGTCCTCCGGGCCGGCCAACGGGACTGGGTGCCCGGAAGCCCCGGCGTGCTTCGTCCGGGCCAGCGGCTTTTGCACTGCCTGTCCGGCACCTCGGCCGGCCGCGTCCGGACCACCCCCGCGCGCCGGTGGTCTACGAGGCTCGCGAGTCCCGAGGCGGGAGAGGTCGCGCTGTGCCTCGCGCGGGGCTCCCCCATCAGGCCGCCTCCAGCCCCATGAGGACCCCCAGGCCGAGGCTGAGAGCCTGGAGCAGCCGGGCCGGAAATCTTGCGGCGGCCCCAGCGCGGTAGACAGGTCGGTGGCGGGGCGGGACGCGGGGCCGGGGCTGGGGGCCGGAGGAGGCGCGCGCTGGTCCAGCCGGTGCCACCGCGCGGCTCCTCGGGGCCACTCTCTGGGTCACCTCCGCCGGGGGCATCCGCTAGTGCGGACGTGATTCTGCAGTTTTTCATGACAGGCAAGGTGTGGGGCCGCTCGGGAGGCCGCTCCCCGCCCCCCGGGGGGTCCAGGTGGTGGGAGTGGGGACGGGGGGCGACGGGAGGTGGGCGCGGGCCGGGGGACGCGCCGGTCGCGGCGCTGATGAAGCCAGGCTGCGTGGTGCGGCTCCGCGGCAGCGTGGGCAGCACCGCGGCCAAGGGTCTCCGGCCTCGAGATGCCAGGCCGCTGTGCGTGAAAGGAAAGCGAGACGCAGAAGAAAGCCCGAGAAGAAAGGAGGCCGGGGGACCCGGGGCCCGGGGAGCCAGCAGGGGGGCCCGCAGGAGCGCGGGCGCGAGGGGCACTGGCCGCGCGGGTCCCGGCGCTCCAGTTGTGGACGCGCCCCGGGTGGGGTGGGGGCCTGGCCCGAGCTCCCCGAACCGCCGGGGCGAGGGTCCAGGCCCACGCCTTCCCTGCCCGCCTGCTCACCCCGCACCCCTCCTGCCCATCCAGGATGCGGCTGGGCCGCCGGGCCCTGTGCGTGTCGGTGCTGCTGTTCGCCTGCGCCTCGCTGGGGCTCCTGTACGCCAGCACCCGGGACGCGCTGGGCCTCCGCGCCCCTCTTGCGCCGTGGGCGCCCCTGCAGGGCCCCCTCAGGCCAGAGTTGCCACACCTGGACCCCGAGCCCCGCTACGCGCACATCCCGGTCCGGATCAAAGAGCGAGCGGTGGGGTGCGTCGCCAGGAGGGGGAGGCGGCGGGGCGCTCGCTCGCTCCCTTGCTCGCTGGTTGGGGGTGGAGGGTGCCGTGGGAAGCTTTTGTCTCCTCCAAGGCAGAGCTCTGACGCTGGCGTCCTCCTAGCGGAGGTGCGGAGATGCGGGGTGCGAAGTGGGAGGTAGAGGAGGGGCTCGGGGTCTGAGAGGGACAGAGGGGAATCTTCCATCCCCGAATCGTGTATCAGCGATGCGGTCCCCTCCCCACTCCACCACTCCGAGCTAGAAGGCTCTTGGGCCCCGATTCCGAGGGAAAAAGAGGACCGAAGGTCGTTAATGGTGGGAGGCAACTGCAAAACCCTAGCTCTGGACCCAGAGCCCCTGCCCCGGGAACTGTTGGGAGCACAGTGTTGGGGACAGCACAACAGGGTGAGGCTATGTGGACATTCACACCCCCCCCCCCCCGCTCCCCACCCCCAGGCTGCTGGCCCAGAACAGCTGCACTTGTGAGCCCAGCGGGGGCGGCCTGTCCCTCCCCTTCCAACGGCAGATTCACGCCAAGGACCTGACCAAGGCCTTTGACCCCGAAGAGCTGCCCGCTGCTTCTGCCTACCGTGAGCAGGAATTCCAGGCCTTCCTCCAAAGGTACCCACCACAAGAAGGGCAGGGCTCTGCAGGTGCAGCCTGGAGCCCGGAGACCACCCGCCCTAACTCTTCCCCTGTCCTCCCTCTCCTCCACTGCCAGGAGACAGTCTGCTGCTGACCAGCTGCTGATAGCCCCTGCCAACTCCCCCCTCCAGTACCCCCTGCAGGGAGTGGAGGTGCGGCCCCTCAGGAGCATCTTGGTACCAGGTGGGGAGGAGGAACCCTGGGGGGAGCGCGGGCAGGAAGGGGCGGGGACTGAGGCAGGGCAGGGGAACAATGATGACTAGAATGGGACATGGGGACCAGGGGGGTTCTGGTGAAAGGGGTACTGAAGGGCCCACGGCGCTCATGAGGTGGGAGGTGGGGACAGAAGGGACTTTAGGGACCAATTGCAAAAACAAAACAAAACAAAACAAAAAAAAAAAACCAAGTCAGTCTTGGAGAAGAATCTGTTCTTGTTTGAGTGGGAAGAAGTCAGATGGATCTAGGGCCAGTCACAGAGTTGCCACTTTGTCATGGAAAAGTCCAAAGCCAGTGACCCTAGTAGTGTTAGGCCGTGTGTTCTGCCTTGGCCCCAGAAAGTGGAAGGAAAGAGAAGTTCTGTGCTGAGCCTGTGAAAAAGGAACAAGAAAGTGCGGGAGAATTCAGAACCCTCTGTGCTTTCAATTTTCAATCCCCCATCCTTCCTCCAGGACTGAGCCTGCAAGCGCCTTCTGGTCAGAACATATACCAGGTGAGGGGTACGAGGAGGCAGGCGAGGTGGATGGGCACGGGCATGCTGGGAGGGAAACATGGCAGCCAGGGGAGGGATGGGGGGATTGGGGGGCACAGGTAGGCCCCGTCCCACGGTGCTCTCCACTCGCACCCCAGGTGAACCTGTCTGCCTCCTTGGGCACCTGGGATGTGGCAGGGGAAGTGGCTGGAGTGACACTCGCTGGTGAGGGGCTGCCTGATCTCACCCTTAGCAGCTCAGGCCTGGACCAACTCAATCGGCAGCTGCAACTGGTCATCTATAGCAGCCAAAACTACCAGGCCGACACAGCGGACACAGGTGCGCAGTCTGGGAAGGAGTGACGCCAGGCCGAGCAAGCCGAGAGAACCCAGAAAGACTGGAGCGGGCAGAGAGGGTGTGGGAGACAACGGGGCACCGGGCAGAGCTGCCCGGCCACACAATGAGCATTTCAGCTGGGCAGGCAGGGCCAGGGAGGAAGAGAGGAGCCTTTGTTTAGGGGGGGGCTGGAGCTGGCCAGAGAGAAACTTGAGCTTTGGGTGTGCCCCCTGCAGGCCAAAATTGGGGGCCCTGGGTAGTGACCTGCCCCAGAAACCAGGATATTCCGAGTCTGTTCGCGGCCATACCTTAGGAGAGGGCGAAGGACTTCGCCTTCTTGAGCTCCCATGTTTCCCTCTAGCCCCGGGCAGCGGGTAGGGGTAGCCTTGCTCCTCTCCAGAGCTGGCCTGCCCCGTTCCTGGCGCGCTGCACTGCTGTTCCCTCTGCCTGGAATGCTCTTCCCAGGTTTCCACCGTGGCCGATTCTTTGACATTTGCATTTCAGCTCAATTGTCTCGTCTTCACTGTCACATGACTCATCTAGTTCTCTCTTCAATACTTACCAGTATATGAAATTGCTCATTTACACAGGTTGTTGTCAGGCTTATTAGGTATCTCTCAGTCCATTTGCTTAATATCTTTGCAAATATTGGCAAGTTGTCTAGCTTCTCTGCGCCTTTACTTTTTCTGAACAGAAACTCACTTTTAAAAGTTTAAATTTTAGGGGGCTGGAGCAATAGCACATGGCTGACCCGGGTTCAATTCCCAGCATCCCATATGGTCCCCTAAGCACCACCAGGAGTAATTCCTGAGTGCAGAGCCAGGAGCAACCCCTGAGCATTGCTGGCTGTGACCCAAAAAGCAAAAAAAAAAAGTAAAGTAAGTAAAGTAAGGCCCTCCCATTGATCATCGATTTGCTCGAGCGGGCCCAGTAACGTCTCCATTGGAGACTTTGTTGTTACTGTGTTTGGCATATCGAATACGTCACAGGGAGCTTGCCAGGCTCTGCCGTGCAGGCGAGATACTCTCGGTAGCTTGCCGGGCTCTCCGAGAGGGGCGAAGGAATCGAACTCGGGTCAGCCATGTTGGCTGCGTGCAAGGCAAACGCCCTACCGTTGTGCTATCGCTGTTTTTTTTTTCTCTAGTGGAAAAGTTATTTCTTGCAATCATGCTAATCCTAGGTAAGAAGCCCCTCCCCCCAATTTTCATTCTTCTGGATAATTAAGCGGTGGTAAAAAATCCAGAAAGACTGGAGCGGGCAGAGAGGGTGTGGGAGACAACGGGGCACCGGGCAGAGCTGCCCGGCCACACAATGAGCATTTCAGCTGGGCAGGCAGGGCCAGGGAGGAAGAGAGGAGCCTTTGTTTAGGGGGGGGTCGGAGCTGGCCAGAGAGAAACTTGAGCTTTGGGTGTGCCCCCTGCAGGCCAAAATTGGGGGCCCTGGCACCGCACAGTGATTTGAGTACCTCCAGGAGCAGCCCCTAAGTACAGAGCTTAGGAGTAGACCCTGAGCACTGTCAGTTGGTGGCCCAACCCCCAGGAAAGAATGGAAAGTCCATGGGGATAAAACTCTAATAATCCTCAGGCAAGCGAAGGAAGCAGTTAAATACTGATTTACTGAGAAGAGAAGTATGTCCCAGCCTTTACAGCAGCTTGCCATGTCCTTCCTTCCCAGTTCGATTCTCCACCGAGGGACATGAGGCCGTCTTCACCATCCGCATACGACACCCTCCCAACCCTCGAATCTATCCACCTGGGTCTCTCCTGGAGGGAGGTAAGGCCGGTGGGCCGCGAGCCCCACGGGACAGTGTGGGCTCCTTCCTGTTCCCCACACCCCACTCTCGGGGTCGCACCCGTCTTGCTCTCAGCCTCCTACAACATCAGCGCTCTGGTCACCATCGCCACTAAGACCTTTCTTCGCTATAATCGGCTCCGAGCACTCATCAACAGTATCCGCCGTTTTTACCCGACGGTCACTGTGATCATCGCCGACGACAGCGACAAGCCTGAGAGCATCAGCGGCCCTTACATCGAGCACTATCTCATGCCTTTCGGCAAGGTGCGCGCGCGCAGCAGGGACACCGCGGGCTCCGGGAGGGGGCGCGCGCTCCGTCTCCTCGGCGCAGTGAGGACCCCAGGATTCCGCGCCTCAGAATTAATCGGCGCCTGCTTCACCGGGGGTTCCTGGGATAGTCGGCAGCCGACTCAAGTCTGTCTAACGCGCCTGCATTCTTTCAAGGTGCTTAGCACCTAGTGGGCGCTAAAAGCTAATCCCTACGGAATGGATGCACACGTGAACAAAACGCATTCCATCACACCATCTCACACACACACATCAACAGGGACTCAAAATTATTTTTTTACAAGGGGTGGTAATGTGATGCCTTCTACGCGGCCAATCTGGGGTTGGTTCCCAGGAATTCCTAGGGGATGGGATGGTCCCCCGAGCCCGCCAGGGGTGATTCCTGAGCACAAAGCCAGAAGTAAGCCCTGAGCACTGTCGGGTGCTCCCCAAACCAAAACACAACCACCACCTAGCTCCCGGCCATTCATAAGCATAGGGAAGTCTGAGGAGCGGTTCCGGCAGGCTGGAAGGAGGCGGGCCAAGAGAGCAAAGGAGGCAGGGGCTTTCTCTACTGCCCAGCCCCGCAACTGTGCGTACCCTCCCCCAGGGCTGGTTCGCAGGCCGGAACCTGGCCGTGTCCCAGGTGGCCACCAAGTACGTGCTGTGGGTGGACGACGACTTCATTTTCACGGCGCGCACGCGCCTGGAAAAGCTCGTGGACGTGCTGGAGCGGACGCCCCTGGACCTGGTAGGGGGGCGGCCGCGGCGTGACGGGTTGGGGGAGGAGACCAGACCGAGGGCGGCCAGGCCCGGGCTGGAGGGACCGTCGGGAGGGCGGAGGCCCGGGCTGGGGAGAGGGGCCGCCCTCCTGGACCATCCATCCTCTGGCTCGGCGCAGGTCGGGGGCGCGGTGCGCGAGATCTCGGGCTTCGCCACGACTTATCGGCAGCTGCTGAGCGTCGAGGCCGGCGCGCCGGGCCGAGGGAACTGCTTTCGGCAGAAGCGCGGCTACCACCACGAGCTCGTTGGCTTTCCCGACTGCGTGGTCACCGACGGCGTGGTCAACTTCTTCCTGGCGCGCACCGACAAGGTGCGGGAGGTCGGCTTCGACCCGCGCTTCCGCCGAGTCGCGCACCTGGGTGAGTAGCCCCCCCTCCCGGCAGCCCAGGGAACACGCGCGTCCGTGCGGGGCCAGACTCCTGCTGCAAGGCGCCCGCCGGGGGTGGGCGCCGCATCCTCCTGCCCGCCCATCACGCCGAGCCCAAGGCGGCCACCCACGGCCCCTGGGCGGTTCTGTCCAAGATTTACCAAGCTCTCCGGCTCGGGCGAGAGATAGGTCCCACGCTCTCTGCCCCACACACCATTTAACTTCACCCTCAACATAGTCCCTGCATCCTCCTCGAACTTCCCAGGCCCTGTCCTGGCCACGCAGGCCCCGCCCCTCTCAAGCTCCCCTGTTGCAGACAGCACTTGGAGCAGCCCACGCGCATTTACTGAACCTCTGGTGCGCAGGGGCTGGGATCCATTTTCGAGGTAAATATGCTGATTCTGTTAGATACAGGAGTCAAACTAAGACTCTTGGTCTAAGGACCACGTCCAAGGTCTTTCAGCATGGAGTCTGCGCGTGCACCGTCTACAGCCCGGCTCGCGGTCCTTCCTGAGGCTGCTCCTGCGCCCTTGTGACCCTGACGGTCCATTCTCCTCTCCGCCCCTAGAGTTCTTTCTGGACGGACTTGGTTCCCTCCGGGTGGGATCCTGCTCGGACGTGGTTGTGGATCATGCCTCCAAGGTGAAGCTGCCTTGGGCCTCCAAGGATGCAGCGGCCGATACTTACTTCCGGTACCGGTACCCGGGATCACTGGACGAAAGCCAGGTAGCCAAACACCGCCTGCTCTTCTTCAAGCACCGGCTGCAGTGCATGACTGACGAGTGACCCACCGAGGAACTCTCCGAGCCTTGCAAATATCAGGCTGGGCCTGCTCTTTGTCCCTGACAGGACTTTCTAGCAAACCCACCTGGTGAACACTCAAGTGACTGGCCCCAAGCCCTGAGGACCCCCACCCCCACCCCCATCCCCTTCAGCTCCCAAAGAGGGGCTTGTCCTGGCGACACTCCTTTTCATGCGAGTGCCAGAGGCAGGACAGAGCCATAACGCCCACAGCCAGTGCCAAGTTCTCCCCCCAACCCCTTTCTCATGGGGCAGGAAGTTGGGGGTCACTTTCCAAGTGCCAAAGAGCCCCAGGGGACTCTAAGAACCTAAAGTGGAAACATTCTCCTCTTGACTCCTTGGAACTGAGGGGGTGGAAGCCCCCAACATGTGTTTCCCGGGCTGTGCCCCATGTCTGGATCCAGGACTCTGTGCACCGGCTCCAGCCCCGACCCCATGGAGAGAACTGGGGGTTCGTGAGCTGGAGTGGGGGCTGGTGAACACAGGTGAAAGCCATTTTCAGTGTGTCTCTGCAGTGCTGCGGCATGAAGGAAGGGGCAGTGGGGGGCGGGGGGCTTGTACAGATACCCATACTATGAACCCCAGAGGTTCTCAGCTTAATTTTATTAGTTACATGATGTCAGGGGGCTGGGGACCCTGTCCACTCCAAGGGTCACAGCCACACTGTGCATGTCTTTGGGCCTGCGAGCTCCTGGAGAGGGAGGGAGATGTCAAATATTGGGTACCGCTCTCCTCCCAAAATTCAATAGTCCTTTGAAGGGCATGCCACCCCCACACACACACCCTGAAGGACTGAGTTCCCCAATTCTCTGCCCATGGCAGGATCCAGTTTCCCTGAATGAGTCTTTTTCTTTGGTGGTGGGGGGGGGGGGAAGTACACCCAGCAATGCTCAGGGGTTACTACTGGTTTTGCACTCAGCAGTTTTTCTTGGCAGTGCTTGGAGGATCATATGGGATGCTGGGGATTGAATCAGGATGGGTCACATGTAAGGCAACCACCCTCCCCACTGTGGTGGCACTCCAGCCCTCCCTGACCAGGTCTTAAATCAGCTCATTTCTTCTCCCGCCCTCTCTCCCCCCCTGGTCCCCTGCCCACATCCTTCTCCCTGGACCTTGACCACCAACTCCTCACCCACACAGGCCTGCCCCAGCTTACACCTGTGGCCACTGCCCCCTCACCAGTATCTCCAGGGCGTGAGCAGCTGCATCCTGCACACTCACGAACAGCTGTTCTGGGGTCACTCTGTCCCCAAGTCCGGCCTGGGTCAGCGTCCCCAGCACGGAGGCTGCATGGAGAGGCGGCCAGGTTCTCAGACCCTAAGTCCACACTGTAACCCCCCAGAGCCCCACCTGAGACCCAAGACCCAGGGCCCCCCTCACCATTACACTGAGCCAGGAGAAGGTGGATCCCCGCATCTTGGCATCGGCTGGCCAGCTGCAAGTGTGGGAAGGGGTGTCAGAAGGGATGCATGTGACAATAAGGGGTCATTCCTGCCACCTCCCCTCTCCCTCACCTGCACAACTTCTCGGGCCCCAGCCGCATCTGCAAAGGTGACCCCGCTGCAGTCTAGGACCACTGCTCTGACCGGCTCAGCAACTAGGGCAGGAGAAGGCAGCAGTACCCAGACGCCCCCTGGTGGTGCCCAAGGAGGGAGCTCCTTGCCAGTCCATCTCACCTGTCTCTGCTGGGCCGTCTGTCCTCTGTGAGTAAAGAAGGACCACAAGCATGACCGAGAACATCATAACCCCCTTCAGAAGGAACCTCCCGCCTTTCAGGCCAGGCCCTCACCTGGCCTCCATCTCCCAGCCCTAGATGCCACTCGAGGAGGCGACGGAACTGCCCGCGGGTCCCGAAGTAGAGGGGCGCTGGGTAGCTGAGGACGCAGAGCCCGGGGACCTGCAGGAGCTGCGGGGGTCAGAGGGTCAGAGGGCAGCCCACCTCAGCTCCCCTTCCTTGTCAGTGCTCGACCACCCACCTTGTGGCTCTCTCCCAGGGGCCTGTACAGCTCTGTCCCCTCGACCCATCCAAGTGCCTGGCATCGCACCCTGGATGAAAAGTGAGGGTCAGATGGCTGGCCAGCCTGGCTGGAGACCCAAGCCATCTCCCACCCTTCCTCACCACTCCCACCTCTGGGTGCGGCAGACCACAGTCATCATGGAGAAGACAACGCCCACAGCCAGGCCCAGGTCCACACTCAGAGTCACAACGGCCACCCACGTAACCATCCACACAACCTGCAGGGCATGGGTGGGAGGGGAGTGTTCAGAAGCAAGGCGGGGAAGGGTGGAGGGGGTCCATGGCTAGGAGTTGCCCAGGCAAACCACAGGGTGGATGGTCCAGGCAAAGGCAGAGTGACAGAAGGCAGGGACCGGATTGAGAACTGAGCCCACAGGGCGTGCACCAAGGGTAATGCTCTTAGAGGAGCAGGTCACAATACACAGGTCTGAGTAAAGGAATCTGAGGGGGGGGGGTGCGTGTGTAGGGGAGCGCAATATGACTTAGGACCAGGACCATTCACTTTGCACTAGGCTAGGGGCGCTGGACACAGGAGCGGGCACTCTGGGGATTGGGGTGCCACCAGTGCTCACGAAGTCCACGCGGCTGATGCGCCACAGCTGTGGAAGCTCCTGCATCTGGAAGAACATCTGGCGCATGCTGGAGATGTTGATGCAGGCCAGGACAGCCTGGGAACAGAGGAGGTGGGCTGACCACCCCAAAGTTCTGGAATATAGCCATCCCTTCCAGCGCACCCCCACACACACACAAATTCACCTATGCACACAGGCATGCACACGTGTACACACATACACACACACACACCTCTCCTCTGCTCCTTACCTTAGGCAAGTAGTAGAAGAAGGGCCCCAGCCACAGCAGAACCAAAAGAACCACAATGCAGGAGAAAAGCCCCGCCAGCTAGAGGGAGGAAAGGCCAGGTGCCCAGAGGAAGGGAGTCCGGACTCACTCATTGGAAACTCCCCCCCACCCTGATGCCCACCAACACAGATGTTCTTCACCCCTCCCACCCTTATATTCTGCCGCTAGCACCTACCATTGCCCGCTGCCAGTTAAATGCGCATCTTTCACAACTCCCCTGAGATCAACTCAACTTTCCCATTTTGTAGCCTACCTCCATCTAAAAAGCCACACAGTAAGATTACCCTAAATATAGGGTTAACCACACGCTTCAGGCACCAGCCCAGTTTAAGAAAAAAAAAGTGTAGGGGAAATGAACAGGTGATTTTTTTTTATAAAAGAAAATGTCCCCATGAGGAGGGGAAAATCAGAAACTTCTCCCAAAATTCCTACAGCTTAGTTTTTTTGTTGTGCTATTTTGAACTGTTAGGGTGCCGAGGAGCCACAAAGTCTAAGCAGGGGCTGGAGCGATAGCACAGTGGGTAGCGCCTTTGCCTTTGCCGGCAGCCGGCCTGGGTTCAATCCCTGGCATCCCATATGATCCCCCAAGCACTGCCAGGAGTAACTCCTGAGTGTAGAGACAGGAGTAACCCCTGAGCATCACTGGGTGTGAGCCAAAAAGATTTTTAAAAAAAGTCTAAGCAGTGCTTGACTGTCTCTCACCCATCCCCTCCCCCACTGTTGCTCAAGGTGCCCGTCTTCCCCCACAGAGGTGCCGCTGGGCAGCGACCACCTGCTTCTCCACCACCACCATCCGCCTCTTCCACACCACACACGTGCCAGCCCTTACCTGTGTGTTCCCCCCCGCGTCCACCAGGAGACTGGTCGTAGCCAACGTGGCTGAGTTGGGAAAGCAAGAGAAAAGGGAGGAGACGAGGTTGGACACACCATGTGCCAAGAGCTCCTGGGGGAACGCAAAGAGATAAGAGAGCAAGGCCTGGCGGAGTCCAGCCCAGGGTTTGCCTCCCTAGGGAGGTTGGGGTACACAGTCCAACACCCACCTGGTTAGAGTCGATAGTGTAGCTATACTTGTCTGCATAGATGGAGGCCAGGGAGGCGGACACAGCAAAAGTGACCAGTGCCAGAGGCAGCGAGTCAGCCAAAATCCTGGGAAGCTCAGCCAGGTTGGGCAGGAGGGGTTGAGGAAATCTGGGGAGAGAGGCTCCATGATGGGGGCTGGTTGGATCGTGGAACACAAAAAGGGTCGGGCAGTACAGGCCCGGACTCAAGTGGGAGAACGCTGCCAGCTTTTATTCTCTCTTACCCCCCAGGAAGCACTCCCACAATCTGGACATTATATCTTGTGTCTAGGGAAGAGGTGAAGCAGAGCACCGTAGCCAGGAGCACCTGGGGGAGAGAGGGCTCGTCAGGGCATGCACAGGGTTGGGCCCTCCAAAGCCCAGAAGAGACAGATTTCATGGAGTCTTAATTCAGGATTAGGTGGATGCCAGCATGGAGATATGTTTGGAAATGAATGGGCACTTGGCAGCTGTTAGAGTGAAAAAGAGCTGAAAAAGTGAAAAGGGGATGGGGAAGAGGAATGATCTGGGGCTAGAGGAGACAGAGAGAAAGAGAAAGAGAGATGAAGGAGAGGATAGGGGAGGACAGGAGGATTCTATGAGACCTTGTGAAGATCAAGCAGAATAACCCAGTCATGAGAGAGAGAGAGAGAGAGAGAGAGAGAGAGAGAGAGAGAGAGAAGGAAGGAAGGAAGGAAGGAAGGAAGGAAGGAAGGAAGGAAAGAGAGAAGGAAGGAAGATTGGATAGAGTACAGGTGCCAAGGCACTTGCTTTGCACACAGCCAACTTGGTTCCATCCCCTGCAAGCGTTTGATCCCATGAGTACCACCAGAAGTGGCCGGAGCACAGAGCCAGGAATAACCCTTGACTACTAACCGAGTGTGGTCCAAAACTAAATCAAAACAAATACTGCACCCAAAGTAGGGAATCTGTGCTATTTTCAGAAATATAGAGAGTATATTATTTGAAAGGGCGAGAAGTGTAAGTGGATGCGAAAAAAGAATCATAAGATGCACCGAGAATGACAGTAAAGGACAGGATGAGAGATGCGACGCGGCGCTGCGGCGCGCAGGACCGCAAGGGAGCGCAGTAGCAAGAAAACGCCTCTTCCGCCGTCCTGCGCGCCGGGCGAGAGAGGGGGGACCGGGTGGGTGGGGGTTCCGGGGATCTGCGTGTTCTGGGAGGAAGCCTGGGAACGGCCCCGGGGAAGCAGGTCCTCTCGCCTGTGACCGCTCTGCTTTCCGCAAGGGGGCGGCAGCGGGCAGCTCGGCCGCGCCAGGGGCTGGGACCCCCGCCTTCCTCACCATGACGATTTCCCCGGGAATCGGGGTGGGCAGTCGGTCTCGGAATCGCACGTTCAGTTCCTTGACGGGCACGAGCAGCGCCAGGCTGAGTACCGAGATGGTCAGTTCCGCGGGGCTGCTCTGGGGCAGCGCTGTCAGCACGGCGGCCAGCGTCTGCGGGCAGGGGCGGGGAGCGGAGGGCCTGGTGCGGGGGTCGGCTGCCCGCCGCGGGGACCCTCGCCAATTTCTCGCCCGGCTCCCCTCGAGGCTTGCACCTCCGCCACGTGGTTCTAAGCCTGCTTTCCTCCGCCCTCCTCGCGCGCTCGTTCCTTGCTCGGTTTCCCTCTTCGCGAGACCGCTCGAAGTCCCCCCCACTCCAGCCCCAGCCCGTCTCCCCGCCCCCACCTTGAAGAGGGCGAAGCAGCCGATCTGGCGCGGGAGGGGCAGCCCCAGAAGGCTGGGCAGTTGGGACACGAGCACGTGCAGCGCGGCCCCGCTGGTCAGCGCTTTGACCACAGGCTCAGACAAGAAGGTGGCCAGGACGCCGAGCTGCAGGGCGAACATGCCGAGCTGCGGGGCAGCGAGAGGCGCCGTCAGCATCATGGGCTGGAAACGGGCAAGGGCGGGCCCGCAGCGCGCCAGCTTCTCGGCGCGCCGCACCCGCCCGCCCGGCATCCCGGACCGCGGCCCAGCCGGGTCCCGCGCTCCTGCGTCCAGCGCCGCCGCCTCCCCGGCAACGTTCTCTCCCGGCTCGCCGAGCCTTGGCTTCTCCAGGGGCCCCCACCCCCGTGTTGTCCCTCACCATCAGCGCCCCGCTCCCGAAGGCCAGGGCCGCAGCCACCCCGACGCGCTGTGCGTCCAGCTGTTCCCTCTCGATTCCGCTCAGGTTGCCCCCAGCGGGTTCGGGTACCAGTCGCTCCACGGCCGAGCCCGTCATGAGACTGAGTACCGCGAAGGTGCCTTGCACAGAGACAAGAGCTGAGGTCACCGCCGTGCTGCTGGAGTCCAAGGCCAAGCTCAGCTCCCGCCCCAGGGGCTGCTGGGGGTCACACATCCCCACACACACACACACTCCTGGAGGACAAGAGATGGCCCTGCAGCCAACGGTGAGGGAGGAACGGATGCAGGCCCCTCTCTCCCTCCCCCCCACTCCCGCAGATGCTTGCTCCCGCTCGCTTCTATGAGGGACCCTGCCTCTCCTCTCCCCACTTCCCAAATCCCCAAGATGCTCTAACCAAATTCAACGGATGGCAAAGGCGGGGATAAACTCTGGCCTCCTGGTCCCCACTCGGCACCCCAGCCAACACTGGGGTGGAAGGGTGGGCAGTAGAGAGGAGACCAGAAGCAACAACTCTCCGGCCCCCAACTCCTCCCCCGCAGCGCCACATCCCTGCGTCACTCACCGGTGGACACGTGCCTCCCGGTACCCAAGAGGGTGTACAAGAGAACGGGGAAGAACGAGGTGTACAGTCCGAACACGGGGGGCACCGAGGTCAGGAGGGCGAAAGCCATGCCTGGGAGTTGGGGGAGGCAGAATCGTTGGGGTAGGGGCGGAGGGGAGGGTTGCCGGCCCCAGACCCACACGTGGAGCAGGACCGGTCTGGCTAGAGCTAGCTCCTGCCCTGCGAGCGGTAAACGGGCCTCGGTGGGAGGTCGCGGGGCGGCCCAGGTTAAGATCCGTGTCGACCTGCGTCCTGGGGGGCCTCTCCAGTTCCCTGAGCCGGAACCGGTCCGCTCGCGCGGAGGAGGGGCGCCGGGAGGGGGGTGTTCACCCCGCCGCGTCTCCCCGACGCCCACCCTCACGGCCCCTCGCGCCTCCTCCCAGGGGTCTCCGAAAGCGTGGGCACCTAACAGGCTGGGGGTGGGGGCTCACCCTGGGGCACGTGCACGATGCCCACGGTCACTCCGGCCACCGCGTCGCCGAGCAGCCAGGCTCGCCAGCGGTAGAGGGGCAGCCAGCGCAGCGGGGGCAGCCGCGCCAGCAGCAGGCGCCACGCCCCCGGGCGGGAGCAGGCGCGGGGCCGCCGCCGCCACAGCCGGCACAGCGGGGACCCGCCTGGCTCCGCGACGGCCGGGGGCTCCGGCGCTGCGCCCCCGAAGAGCTGCTGGAACCGGGCCTCGGTGAGAGGCTCCCTGAGTTTGGCGCCCAGGGGAGACTTCAAGTCAGAGGCCTCTCCGCGGCCCGGGCCGGGCCTGGCGCCCAAGAGGCCACTCATTTTGCCCTGGGTCACCCCCCCCCGACCGCGTCCAGTCTTAAATACCCCTCCGCTGGCCCGCCTCCTTGAGGCAGGGTCCAATCCGGCCCTGGACGGCGCTGTCTCTTGGGGACCTCCTGCAGGGGCTCAGAGGGTGTCTCTATGCTGCACGTTTCTCCGTTTCCTAGGGCATCCTTGGGCGGGTCGCTTTCTCCGGAGCCTGAAGGCAACAGGGATCCGAGAGCCGGCCCCGGAGGACCTGCGCTCGTAGCAGGCACCCCCACCCCACACCTTTCCTCAACCATGGCCCCAACCCCACCTCCGTTCTGTTCCGGGCCTGCCCTCACCTGCATTTTGCAGAGAGGCAGAAGCTGGCCGTGCGAGCTGCCGCGGTCCCTGACACCCCAACACATCCAACCCCTGTCACCTCACCAAAGCCTGCCCAGGCCCCCAAGTCCCCATGCAGCTTACCCATAGTTTCAGAAGTTGCTTTCTCCAGGGGACAGGGATGTTAGCGATCCCACACCTAGCCCCCACTCACATTTCTTGGGAGGGGAGTGGCCTGCGGTCCCAGTGCTGGGTCTTACAGGACCGACCATAATGATAGGACGTTGTGATTTTGTTTTTCCTTAACACAACCATGCACCCTGTATTACATCCAAGTGCAATTCACAAAGCAGAGGCTCACCCAGTTAGGGGTGTGGGGGTGGAGGGTGGGATTCAGTATAGAAAGGTGCGCCCCCTGCACCTCTATGGCCCAGAGAGACACAAAGGTTCTGAGGCAGCATTCTGCGGTGGGCCACCCCTCCTCCACCCACAAGAATCCTCAGCACCCCTGGTCCCCAGTCCCTGACCCCAAAGTCCTGGGGGTGGGTTCAGTGAGGGTGGGTCTCCCTTCTTCAATTCCTCCTATTGTTCCCCCAGAAGTCTTATCTGGGCTGGACGTCCTGTCCCCCCCTTAGAGGTCCCTCCCCTCATTGTCAGCCAGGGGGACCTCAGGCCCCAGGGAGGCTCCGGCTGCTCCTTGAGCTCCCAGCCCAGCAGTCTATTGTCTGCTGAGGAAGCCCAAGCCACGTGACCTGGCCCAGGGGACACCCAGACACGGTGGACCCGACACTACCCACACACCCAGGACAGGGCACCTGGTCATGGAGCTCTGCACCTTTGCCTCCTTCTGTCCCAGAGGCAGTCCCAGAAGTGGGGAGGAGCACAGCCCCGCCCCAGGATGTCTGCGCGTGAGGAACCCTTCCCTGCTCTGTGTGGATACCTGTGACCTGCCAGACAGCAGAAATAAGAAAGCCAGAGCAGAACAGTGTCACGGCCCCCACGACCCTCCCCACCTTCCCAGCCTTCCTCGCTAGCCACGGAGGATCCAGAGGAAAGGTATGTTGGCCCTCACATTCGAATCTGGGTGTTGGGAGGAAGGGGGAACTTCACACACACACACACACACACACACACACACACACACACACACGGCTTTCCAGTGGGACTGAGAACAGAGGCCAGATGAAAGGGGAAAGGGAGAGAGGGGAGGATAAATCAACGATCTTAGGGTTCCGAGTAGGTCCCCCACCCAGTCCCAGGTGTGGACTGAGAGATGCTAGAACTACAGGTTCAAAGCATAGACAGCAGCAATTTTTCATTCTTTTCTTTTCTTTTTTTGTTTGTTTTTATACACATTTTTATCCAGGGTTACTTCTGCCTCCACACAGGAATTACTCCTGGTGGTGCTTGGGAACCATATGGAGTGTGGGGAATTGAACCCGGGTCAGCTGTGCGCAAAGCAAATGCCCTACCCACTGTACTGTGTCACTCCAGCCCCAGACAGCAACGTGTTAAGTCTCACATTTGTGTCCTCCTTAGATCTTCAAAGCCTCCACTACACCACCAGTGTCAGGCCCAGTCCCTCTCCTCCACCCCACTGTACCCCGACTACCCTTCTGAGAGCTTACCCTCCCCTCTGCCAAGACAACAGCCTCAGTGATATAACAAAACCTTTAATTTCAGAAAACAGGAAAAAAAAGATCAAAAATAAAACCACGGATTTCTAGCTGGCCCGTGCCCTAGCCCCCACCCTCGTAGCCTCCTCTGGGGGGGCTGTGATGCATGCAGAGGGGTGCGAGCCGAAGGAACACAAGTTCCTTGGGCAAAGAAAGTTCTCTGAAGTCTCGGTACCTGCCTCCAAGCTGGCACTTGCCAACCCTGAGACACACCGGGGAGAAATCCCTGGGGTGCCAGGAGGATGGGCTGAGCTGCTTCTGCTCTGGAATAGAGCGCTCAGTCAGCACCTCCCTCCAGCCTTCGCCCATCACAGCTCATCTTCATCCAGCTTGGCAAGTCGGGCCTGGCCGGGAGGGGTGTTGGGAAGAGGTGGAACTGGAGGAGAGTCGTGAGGCATCTGGGGGAGGTCACTGAGGGCCTAAAGAAAGACTCAAGTCAGAGGGTCAAAAGAATTCGGGGACATTCCCCATCCCCAGTGACTCCCCTTCCCCCCACTCGTGCAAAGATGCCCCAGCCTACTTTTTTCTTTTTGGCCACACCCAGTGATGCTCTGCAGTTACTCCTGGCTCTGTACTCAGGAATTACTCTTTTTTGTTCGTCTGTTTTTTGTTTTTTGGGGGGTCATACCCAGCAAGGCTCAGGGGTTACTCCTGGCTCTGCACTCAGGAATTATTCCTGGTGGTGCTCGGGGGGTTCCATATGGGATGCTGGGGATTGAACCTGGGTTGGCTGTGTGCAAGGCAAATGCCCTACCTGCTGTACTATTGCTCTAGCCCCTCAGGAATTATTCTTGGTGGGCTCAGAGGACCATATGGGATGCTGCGGATTGAACCCAGGTCGGCTACATGCAAGGCAAGTGCTTTACCCACTGTACTAACTCTCCAGTCCTCCAGCCGACTTTTTTTTTCTTTTTGAGTCACACCCGGTGATGCACAGGGGCTACTCCTGGACTCAGGAATTACTCCTGATTACTGCTGGCCGTGCTTAGGAAACCATATGGGATGCTGAATCGAACCCGGGTCAGCTGGGTTCAAGGCAAGCACCCTAGTCGCTGTGCTATCACTCCAGCCCCCCCCCCCCCCACAGACTTCTTATCTGACTGTCAGCTTCTCCCAGAGTTAAATTGGAGGAATGGGGGTGGGCAGGTAAGAGAGAGGAAGAAGGAAGGGGCAGACCTAGAGAGAGGTGGGGGAAGACAGGCCTGGGGGAGGAGGATCCTGGGATCACAGACAAGAGGGGCCCGTCCATTCTGGCCCTTAATCACACCTGTGTGTCCAGGGCCAGGGGGGCTCTGGGCACCTCCCCTTTGGGCAGCAGCAGCAGGGAGGGGAGAGAGCCATTGATGGGTGTGTGCATGCTGGCTTGGGCCCGGTCTCCAGGGCGAATCCTCCCTGGGCTCCCCACCCCAGCGGCCCCTCCTGGCCGGCCCAGGCTGTTGGTCTGACTCTCCCGTCTCTGGTACTCAATGGGCGACTGCAACGCTGGGGTGGAGAGATACAGAGGCAGGGTTAGAGCCGAGCGGAATCCTCCCGCGCCCACCCTTCGGAGGGGTGGCCGGCAGCAGTGCAAACTGGAGCTCTCTGAGATGAACCAAATCTAGCGCGAGGGTGGAAATGCGGGGAGAGGGGATGGGAGGGGGAGCAGCCTGGCCTGGGGAGCAGGCAGGGCTTGAAGGGTGACAAGGATGGGTTGGGGAGGCTGGAGGAGAACTTCACCATTGAGAAAGTCCCGCTGGCTTTCCAGGATCTGTGCCACTTGTTTGATCCAGGCCTGACTGACAGCAGGGTCTGCAGTCTGGAGCACGTAGCGCTGGATCCCGCCCTCGGGCCCTCTGGAGGTCAGGGCGAAACGGCAGGGGTCCCCTTGGAGGTTCCCCTCCAGGCCCAGGCAGCTTACCTGGAACGGCAAACGGGAGAGGGCCCCCAGATTCCTCAGTGATTCCTGACCGCGCCCGAATGTCCCAGAGCCAGACCTGCCGCCAGCGGTCCTTCCCACCTTGATGCTGTTCTTGTACACGTATCCGGGCTGCGCGCACCCTCGCGCGCCCCCGCCCAGCGCCTCGCTGAAGATGACGATTTGCTCAAAGAGGAAAACGCGCCTCTCTCGACCCCGGGAAGAGAGCAGCCCCCCGGCCTCTGGCTCTGTCACCCAGAATGTGTCCTGGCCCAGGAGCTTCCCCTGAGCAGTCAGTTTGCCCTAGAAACAAGGGAAAGTGACCAAGGGGGCGGGAACCACGCAGATGGGCACCTCTGCTCCACCCCTCCACCTCCTCACCCGCCCAGGCGCCCCAGGAGGGCTCCCTGTGCAGCCAGCCCTCTCCCGGTCCCTACCTCAAAACCCCGCAGCCTCCCCAGGCTCATCATGTCATTGCAGCGCTTGGGCACGAAGCACATGACCTCCACAGCTTGCTGGGAAGCAGAAGAGAGAAGCAGTGACTTTCGCTGCTGGAGAAGCCTCTTCAAGGGTGGCTCAAGCCCTGGGCAGCCTCCCCCTATGGGCCCAGAGGGTTTTATCTCCAGCCAGGAGACCGAGATATTGGGGGAGTCCTCACCTCCAGCTCGTCAGTGTCTCTGCCAGCTCTGCCATAATACTTGAGAAAATCCTACAAAGTAGAAAAGAGAGGCCGAGGGAGATTTTGAGACCACCCTCCAATGCTTGGACATCCTAGGGTACCGGACAGCCTGCAGGGGTGGTCTAGAACAAGGGTAAGTATATGACCACAAGTTCAAACCCCACGGAGCGTGATTCAGGCAGCTCTGCTGTCTGCAATACCCCCAGCACAGGAAGGGATTTCCTGTGCACCACAGACAAGTGCGGGAGCATCATAGAAAGGGTGCAGCGCCACAGGCAAAAAGATGTAGGAGTTCCACAGCTGGGAAGTGCGCCCCCTGGTGGGCATTGTAACCAAAACGGGTATGATTCAGCGCGAACACTGCAACCCAACTAATGTCTTACTAAGGTGCCAGAGTGTTGGCACAGCGGATAGGGCTCTTGTCCACAGCAGACCCGAATTCGATCCCTAGCAACCCAGATGGTCCCCGGAGCTCCATCAGCAAGTAAGTACTGCCAGGTGTGGCCAAAAACAAACAAACTCCCCAACTCCTGTGTAAGCCACCGAGGCCAGGAATGTGTGCAGCGCTCCAAGACATCAGCAACAATAAAGGAAAGAAGGGATGGGAGGGAGAGCAGGAAATGCCCCGGGGAAGAACAGCATGTGGGTGGTGTGGAGAATCGTGGGGAGATGAAGGTAGGTCTTTCCCTTTCCACCAGGTGTGCCCCCGGGGAGGGACCGTCAGTCCTGACCTTAAGCAGCAGCTGGTATTTCATGATCCTCTGCACTGGTTTGATGAGGAGGTCGCTTAGCTGCAGGCGATGCCCCAGCTGCTGCCGGAGCTCCTGGGGACGGAGACAGGGTGGTTAGAAACACAGCCCCGCCCCGAGAGCCTGCTCCAGACCATTTCTTTCCTGCTTGCTCCTTTTTTTCCTTTCTTCTTTTTGTGTTTTCTTTTTCTTTTTTGTTTTGGTTGGGCTATGTTCAGCGCTTACTCCTGGCTCTGCACTCAGGGATCGTTTCTGGTGCTGCTCAAGGGACCATATGGGGTACCAGGGATTGAACTAGGGTCAACCACATGTAAAGCAAGGCCCCTTTAATTTTTGGGGGGTGGGGGGTGTTTTGGTTTTGGGACTCAGCTAGTGGTACTCAGGGGCTACTCCTAGCTTATTGATCAGGAATCATTCCAAGCAGTGTTTGGGGGACTATGGAGTGCTGGGGATTGAACTTGAACCTCCAACATTCAAATACTTTTATGCCCTTTGCACTCTCTCTGACCCCATTATGCCTATTCCAGTCCCACTCCCTGCCATAGTACCTCAGTCACTGACCTCAAAGTAGCTGTCCCCAAATTCTGACACCACGTGCTCTGACTTGGGCTTATTCTGACAATATACCACATACATATGCAGCCGGCGCTCCTGTCCAGGAAAGGGGTCATGTTTCAGAACGTGCACACCTGACCCATGGATGCCATGGGAGAGCCCAGACCCATCCCGGGGCCCAGCCCTCCCAAGCCTCACATGTTTGATGAATAGCTGCGCCAGCCAATCAGGATCATCCAAACACTGCTGAAGTTCTTGCAGGAAGTAGCTGGAGGGGAATGGCAAGGAGAAGGCAGGTGAGCTACCCCCAATTTAGAGCTCTCTGCCCTAGGGGGGCTCCCCATGAAACTTCTCCAATCATTCCTCAGGCAACAGAGGGCCCCTGGTGGAAGAGATCAGACTTACCTAGACCCACCTGCCATCCCACAGACCCCATCACTCACTCTCGATGCCACTCGTAGATTTGCTGGATGTTCCCAAACACAATCCTGTCACGACCTCGAAGACTCTCAGGCACTCCCTGAGCAGCCATGGTGGCCATGTAACCCTGAGGAAAGGTTGGGGGAGGAGGTAGCATGAACTGATGGGGTCAGCCATCATACACAAATCTGCACAGGCGGTAAGGGAACATGGCTCAGAGCAACACCAAGGTTTTCCTAGGAGGGCTGGGCCAGGATGGGAGTGGGGAAAGGGACCTACCTCCACAACCTGCCCCAAATCTTCCACGTACATTTTCTCTGTCTCTACCAGTTCACTCAGGACATACCTAGGAAGAACGCAGAATTGCACTCTGGTTTTGGCCAGTTTCCCCCTGCAGGACTAAAGCCCCTTTGTCTGGGAGGAAATTCCACGTCTTATATCTAAAATGTGAGGGGTACCAGGAGGAGGAGTGGGGTCTGTGGGGGACGCATGGATACTCACATACTCCTTTCCAGAGCTGCCTTTTTCTGTTCCTCCTCATTTTCTGGAGCGTGCGACAAAATCTCCTCCTCGGGTGGCTGGAAGGAAAGAACATTCTAGAATAAGCAAGCAGCTGCCTCTCGGGTGAAAGGTGTCTCCTCGAGCCCTCTCCTTATACCTGATTCTTATCTGCAGGCCCCTCCAACAGTGTGGTCAGCAGGGTCAGCTCTGGCAATTCTTCTCCGGTGGTTAAAGCTGGTTCCAGCATCCAGTTCTGGGGGCCGGAGGTCAAGTGTCAGAAGTTAAGGACAAAAGCTGTGTCCCCGATGACCAGGGGCCCCAGACCACCCTCCATCAGTGTCCTTCAGCCATGTGCCACATACTTCTGTGCTCACCTCATACGGTCCAGCCTGACTGCCGCTGGCTTCAGCCTCCACATTGAGACAATGTTTGGAATGATCCAGCCATCTCCTCAGGCCGCTGACTGACCCTGGGGGGCCCGGGGAGCAGGGGCCAGAGCTGAGAGCAGAGCTGGGGCCCGAGGGGGCGGCCAGACCCGACGCAGCAGAAGCTGAGATACTTCCCTCACTGCCGGCAATGGAGTAAGATTCTAGAGGCAGAGGAGAGGAGAGGAGAGGAGAGGGGGTGAGATACTTCCAGACTGGCCCCCCCACAGCCCTCTCAGGGTTTTCTGGCCGTGGTGCCCACCCGCTCCTTCCTGGCCTTTGGCTGCCCCCTGCAGGTGATCGCCCTAGCAAGTTCCACCAGGATACCCTTGGGAGGGAGAGGGGTAAACACCTGCCTCCCCGAAGCCATGTGGAAGCTCCGGCTACACGTGGAGATTCCCCAAATCTTGAGCATGGCACAGATATGGAGGTGGGGGCAGCCATCTGGGAAGACGCTAGGAACTGGGGGAGGCCATCTGCTCTCCTACAACCCGTCCCTTTGCAATGGGTACAGACCATTCTCTGAGGAGGAGGGGAGCAAAGAGCCCAGCTGCCACCCCCAGACCCCTCCTTCACCAATTGCAATAATCACTATAAAAAGATTTCTGCAACCCCCTTCCCCACCGCATGCAGAAACCCAGACAGTGGGGCAACAGAGGTGCACGCCTCAAGGTGCTCGGCAGCGCCCCTCATCCTCCACGCCTCAGTCCCTCTCCAGATGTGACTCTCCGGCAGAAGGAGCTGAGGGCAGGCGCTCCCGGCAAGGTTTCCCTCGTGCCCAGGTGGCCTCTGCAAAGAGGAGTCCCCTGCCCCTTCCCCAATTTCCTTAAGTTGAACTGAGAGAAATCCGGAGGCCGAGGGATCTCAGAGATCATCAATCTAGCCACTTTCCTGGAAAACACGGGGGCCGGGGGCCGTGTCCAGCCCCGAACGCCCTAGGGCCAGCGCCAACCGAGGTCCCTGCCCACCCCCGCACCCCTCGACACTGAGCCCTCGCGACCTCGCACTCACCACGTCCCCCCCGGGCGAAGCAGCAACCGCATTTTGCCAGCACTTTTCGGATCACATGGGGACAGGCGCAGCGACCCCCCTTGTGCCCCCCCCGCATGGCGCCCGGGCCCCCCCGCACCCCCCACCCGGGCCGGCCATGCAGGGGGGCTCACGGGGGGCGGGGCGGGAACGGCGCAGCGCGCACACCCCCCCTCCCTCCTACCCCGGGCCAGGCTGGGGGCGGCGGGGAAGGGGGGGGCCCGGAGGGGGCGTCCAGGGGGAGGCGGGAGTCTGGGCCGGCGGAGGGCCGGGGGCTCCGCGGGGAGCGCGGCGCGGGGCCCCGCCGACCGGCTGGGCGGGGAGGGTTTCCGGAGCCCCGTGGGTGCGGGGCCCCGGGTCCAGATGTCCAGCGGGGCGGGGAGGGACGGTGTGGGGGGCTGGGCCGGGGTGCGGCAGCCGCTCCAGCGCCGTCTCGGGCTCTCGGGGCGGGGGCGGCTCTAGGCCCGGCCGGGGCGCAGGCGGGGGCCGACCCCCGAGTCACTGGCGCTGCGCGGGTCCCGGCGGAGCGGCGAGCGGAATAACAGGCCGGGCCGCGGTGCCGCGCGGGGAGGGGCCTCGCGGCCCGGCTCCGCCTCTCCCTCCCGGCCCCCTGCAGCCCTGCTGGCTGCCCGCCCCAGCCCCCTCCCCCAGCACCGGCGCGTTCCCACTCCACGTCCCAGCCTCCGCCCTCCTCCCCGGCCGGGGCTCCCCGCCCCCGCCTCCTCCCGCGTCGCGCCTCGGGCGAGGGGTGAAGGCCCAGCGCTGGGGTCCGCCTCGGGGCGCCCCGGGCCTCTGCGGTGGAGACGAGCCGGGTGGACGCGGTCAGGGCTCGGGCGAAGATGGGCTGGGGGCCAGGCCGCCTCGCAGGGGTGGACAAGGGCCCCAGTAGGGAGCCTCCGGGAGCCCCCGGGGTCGGGGGTCCCAGCCCAGGTGCCGCCCTCGCGCCGGACCCTTCTTTCCAGCGGGCCCCGGGACTCCAGCTGAGGCTAATCACCAATTAAGGCGACTTCCCGGAGCCCGGACTGGCGAGGGGCCAGGGGTGGGGCCCAGGGACACTCCGCCCGCGGGCCCGGGGCCGGCTGCGGTGGGGGACGACACGTGCGGATCGCAGCGATTCTACGGGAATCACGCAAATTAGACGCTAATAAGAGCAGCCTAATTTTGAATTTGCCACCTTACACGGGATGGCAGACGTGCCCCACCCCAGCTTCTTACCGGGCAGCGGAGCCCAAGCGGGCGCCTCGCGTCCGCGGTCCCCTCTCTCATCCCCCTCGGTGGCGTCCGGCTCGGGCTCGGGACCCCCCGGCCCGAGGGGGCTTCTCTTCGGAGCCTGCGGGAACAGAAGGCCCGTGAGGAATCCGGCCTCCAAGCCCAGCCGCGACCCCCAGCTTCCCGGTCTGGTCTCCCTCCTGTCAAAATGCACCGCGCTCCAAAGGGGTCCCGAGAGGGCGGGGGGTAGCGGTTCCCCCCCGGAACGTGGCTGTGCTCCTCTTAGCAGGACGCCAGGACTCCTGCCACCGCCCCGCAGAAAACCCGCTCGAGAGAACTGGGCAGTGGGATCTAACCGTCCTGGGTCCCCTAAAGCCCCCGACACCCCTTGGCTCCCCTTTCTTACCCCCTCCTGCCCGGGTAGGGCGCATGCGCGCAGCATGCCCCCCATGACCCCCAGTATCCGGTCAGTGCGGCCAGGGACGGGGCGGTCCGGGGGCTTCATGCTGGACCCCTACCCTGCTTCAAGATTCAGGATCCAGGGGGCACGGAAGCCGGGGGGCTCTGAGGCCTGCGTGCGTCCGGGGTGTTGCTGCGGCGGAATCCGCCCCCCGCCCGGCTCCGCCCCCACTCCCACCCCAGCCAAACTTCGAAGGGCTGGGGTTGCTCCTCTCCTTAAACTCCGACTCCACAACAAACAAAGCCCTCCTCGTCCCCGTTCCAGCGTCGAACCCAGGACTTCGCCCGGCCCGCGTTATTAGGGTACCACCCACTAAGTACATGCTTTTCCCAGGACTGTCAGAAAGCAGACCGGGGGCGGGGGCGATGCGCACAGGGATTCCCCCCCACCATCCCCGCCCCTGCTCCCCACTCCACCCCCATCCCTTCCACACAACAGAACGGGCGTGGCAGAGAGAGTTGCATATTTTACTTTATTTTTATTAAATTAAAAGCTACAGTCTGGCGGCGATTCCAGAACAGGGTAAGGAGGCTCTTGGAGGGGGCAGAGAAGAGCGGGAGAAAGACAGACCCGACAGAGACAGGGGAAGGCAGGTCGGGGGGCGGTTTCTGAGGGAGACACAGGGCGGCTCCATGGGGCGAGGGGGCCCAGCGGCCCACTCCTCTTCCCCTGCCCCACAGTCCAGCCAGAGCAGAATGGGAGGGAAGGGCGTGGGACCCTCCCCTCGGGGCGTCCTGGAGGCTTAGTCACTGGAGCATAGCACATACCAGAAGAAGCCAAGGGCAGTGGAGGGAGTATGTACATGGGGAGGAGGGGCTGGAGCCTGGGACGGCAGCCCTGCCAGAAGGGAGCGGCTCTGGGGCACTGAAGCACTAGGCCTGTGGGGGAGAGGGGCAGGGACTGTCCCCTCCACCTCAGAACTCCCTCCCTGGGTCAGTCGGGTCCCCTGGGAGCGTGATGTGGGGGGGCCCCCTGAGGGAGAGGGGAGAACAGAGGTTCCCGTTGGGTCCTAGTAGAGGAGAAGAGCGGGGGCCGCGACAGAGGGGGTGGCCTTCAGTCATCCGTGATACCCTTGGCTCTCAGCTCCTCCTGCACCCGGGTCAGGTAGGTGGGGTCCGGGTACCCAAACCTAGAAGCAAGGAGAAAGGAGAGTCAGATGAGCCGTGGGGGGGGGGGGGGAAGGGGAGGCTGACTCGGGAGTTCCCACATTCCCGATGGCCAGCCCCCACCCCATCTTCCCAGCATGTTATGGAAACCCCAGATAACTTAGCCCAGTTCTGCTTATTTTTGTCGATTAATCGGGGTCCATTGGGCTGAATATAGGAGAAACCGGGATGGAGAAAGGGCAGAATAGTTTGCAGGGGGTCCTCTCCTTAATAAAAATTAAGTGGGAGGCTTCTCGGGAGGGGAGGCTGTCTGGGAGGGGGGAAGGGACTGAGGGCGGGGGAATGAAGGAGGGTCGCACAGCTGGGGTCCCCCTGTGCAGCTGGTCTTGTGGTGGATGTCGTTCCAGGTGATGACATTCGGTCTCCCTGTGGTCATGGACGTGCCAATGGTGAAGGTGAGACGCTGGTCAAATGCCTTCCGGAACAGGGTCAGCACCTTGTTGCCCTCGGGGCAGTCTGGGAGGTAGGCCACACGGGTGGTGCCAGGGTACCGAACTCCTGGGTTGGGGTGTTCAGCCTGGGAAGGAGAAGAGCAGGGTGGGCAGTGAGCCTGGGAGGACCAGCAGGGTCATCCTGGCCCGTTTTCTGTCTGTGCATCCAATAGCTCACGCTGACAGGATGGTGATAGCCCTCCAAGGAAAGAGATGCCAGGGCCTGGGCCCAGGAGCCTCTTCCTGGACAAAATCCTTATTACTAAGAGATTCTTTTTGCCCTGCCCATCTCAGGGAACAACAAATGCAGTCTTCTGGATGGCGGCAGGTATGCAGCAGAAGTGGGAAGATGGAGAATCATTTCTCTTTCAGCCTTTTCCTCTCCACTTAAAGACATTTCCAGAACTTCTTCCACTGTCTAACCTGCTCTACTTCTCGATCCCTTTTCCTTGGAGCTTCTTCACCACTCTACGGACAGGACTGGAGATGGGAAGGGGGTTTTGCAGGGGGTGTGGGAGTGTGGACCACACCTGATGATGCTCAGGGCCTACTCCTAGCTCTGCTCCGTCTCTGGACTCAGGGCTCACTCAGGGGACCATATGCGATGTCTGGGATCATACTAGGATGCGTGCAAGGCAAGCATCTTACCTCCTGTACTATCTCTCCCTTCCCGGCAATTACTCTGTGCCAAGCAAGAAAACACCTGAAGGCCCTTGCCCACTCCTGTTTTCCCCTTCCACAGTCAGCCAGACCTGGCTCTCCCCTAAATCTGGGAACAGAGCAACTCTCAGTCAGGTAAGGAGGGGCTGGCTCATTCCAGCTATGCCTGCCCCCCCGGACCCCCCCCCCACCAGAGAGCAGCTGAGCGCTGAAGAACCAGTCTTCAGTTCCTTTCTCTTGCGCCTGATTTCCTTGTGTCTTGAGATTTGGAGGAGAGAAAAATGAGGTCTCCAGGGGAACTCCTAGGTCCAGGGCGCTTGGAAAGGAAGGGGTCCCAGGAGACTGCAAGCCTGTCTCCCCTCTACCGAGCCAGTGGTCCTGGCCCAGCGGGTCAGCGAGGGAGCTTGGGGGGAAACACTAGGGTAAGGATGGGTTCTTACCCCCTGGACGCCAGGCGGGAAGACATACTGGATGACAATGGTGCCATACTTCTCATAGCTGGGCAGTAGGAGGGTGGCGTCCTTAGAGACCAGCATCCGCCCGTTCTGGGGCTGATTCCCCACCAGCTGCCCGTAGAAGCGGCCACACATGGGGCAGGCCTTCTTCACCTGCAGGGCCCGGGTGATGCAACCTTCGCAGAATGAGTGCCGGCACTTCTCCAGGGTCTTGGCGTTCTGGATCTCCCCCAGACAGATGGGGCAGGTGCGCTCGGGCTCTTCGGGGGGCTCCTCCCGAAGGCGCGGAGGCAGGGGAGGGGGCAGAGGAGGTGGAGGAGGGGGCAGCCCCCGGGCTCCAGGGGGCAGGAGGGGAGCTGCTCGCAGAGGGGGTGGGCCGGGGCGGTGCAGCTCAGGGTGCTCGCCCCCACCCCCCAGAGCCAGGCAGCCCATCAGCTCCCCCTGCCTCTGAGCTTTCTTCAGCTCTTTCTCCGCCTCTTTCAGCAGCCCCTTGAGAGCTTTGCGGGCCAGATAGAGCCCGTTGGGAGCTGCCGGAGGGGGCCCCTGGGGGGAGAGCTGGAGCACATAGATGTCCGAAGTCTCGCCATCTATGAGGATGGACACGTGGTGCTCCTCCCGAAGCCGGGCCAGCCGCGCTGGGGTCTCCTTGCTCAGGAAGTCCCACACAGGCTTGGAGACTGTCACTTTGTTCTTGCAGGTGCCTCCACAGGCTGCCATTCTGGACAGGACGAACGACACTGCCCCCAGGGTGAAAGGGACTCAGGGTGCGGGGTCCCCATTTTGACAAACACCAGCGCCTCCAACTTCCAGTTCCTTCCCGCCCTCTCTCTCCCTGCCCCTCTGCGTCCACCGCCGCATCTCCCACGCTCGCTGGCAGCTGCTCTGCCCTCTCAAACCCAGCACTCACAGAAGCGCAAGAACGTTTCTCTCACTTTATTGTTAGCATCTCAGGCAAGCATCGATGTCACGTGGGTGGCTCGCCTTCCACCGCCCCCCACTCCCCCAGGAACAGAGAAACAACCCGCCCCTCCCTGCTTCTGGCTGAAAGGGGGCTCTTTAACGGGGAGGGGGCTTTTGGACCCTCCTGTTTGCTCACTTTGATCCTGAAGAGCTTAGAATTGGCATGCAGGCTCTCTCTGTCCCAGCTCCCTACTTGTATGTGGTGTGACCTGGAGGAGGGAAAAGAGAGGGAGGGGGAATGAGAAACCAGAGCGTCGAAACCTGGATGGAAATGACCAGAACCTGGAATACTTGGGACACGGGGAGAGAAAGCCATTTCTTTGTTTCTTTTGGTAGGGAAAGTACGCAGTGAAGGGTACGGGGTGAGGGGGGCAATATCGGGCTCTGTGCTGGAGGAGGGGTCACTCCAGGTGGCGTGCAGGGGACCATGTGGTGTCCGGGATCAAACCTGCATCTCCCACACGCAAAGCATCCGCTCAGCTGCTGAGCTCTGCCCGAGGAACCCAATTTCAGGTGAAAGTCGAGGTTCTCCTTGGGAAGCAGATACCTGGCAAGCCCATGGACGGTGACAGAAGCAGAAGTCTCTCTACTTGCCCACGCAGCTGGCCAGAACTGCTGGGAGAGGAGGGAAAGGCTCATGAGGTTACCATTCCCCCACCCAGCCCAGGAGACAACCTCTCATTTCCTCTCCTCTCCTGCAGCATTCTATCGCCAGAAGACTCCATCCTAAAAGTTGCTGAAGAAGGAACTTCCACACGCCAACTTTTTCCTTTCCTTCCCCAACTCTGCCTCCAGAGAAAGCCCTGGGGCGGAGAGAAAGGAGAAAGGGCAGCTCGCCTCGCAGGTTTCTCTGCACCTCCCTCGGAGCCCCGAGACAAGAAGTGTCCTGCTCCCAGAGCCCCACATAATTCAGCCCCTACCCCGAGGGAGCCTGGAGGGTGAGCCCTCCACCCTCCCCGCATCCCTCGGCTGAAGCCTGTCTGGGATGCCCAGAAAGTGGCAGCATCGCCTGCAATGAGCGATTTCTCACTGTCACCTTTAAGCCCAGCACTGGGCAAGGCCCACCCGGCAAGCTTCAGGGAGGGGAGGGAGGGTCTTGGGCAGGGGCTGGGCGGGAGAAGCTTCGGGATCTCAGGGCCGGCTCGGTTCCACAGCCCGCTCCAAACCACCTCCAAAGGCGACTCCATCAGGAAGAGGGGCCATTAGTGTGACCTCAATTCTGCGATGTGAAGGGGAGCAGCTCCCCTTCCGGCCTGCAGTGACGGCCCCGGGATGCCGGAAGCACCTCGGGCGACCCAGAAAGTGCGGCTGGAGCCCGAGAGCCTCATCTCGGCCGGTGGCACCCCCCGCCCACCCACCCCACCCCCGACGCGCGCGCGCGCGCGCGCGCGCGCACACACACACACACACACACACACACACACACACACACACACACACACACATCCGCGGGCTCCCAGGCCCCAAGGCGGCGTCCTCAGCGCCCAGTCCGGCTGGCACGGCGGCGGGAGGCGGGGCCACGGTGTGGACCGGGGCTCGGATGCCTCCGGGGCAGCCCGGCCGGCCAGTCCCTCCCTGGAGGCGGCCCAGCGCGGGGTGTGCGCGCCCGTGCGTGTGTGTGTCTGCGTGTGTGTGTGTGTGCGTGCGTGCGCGTGTGTGCGTGTGTGGCGGGGGAGCAGGGTCCCCGGGGCTTCGAGCCAGACAGCCGCCCCTCCCCCCACGACCTCCAGCCAGGCTCGACCCGGAACCAACTCCCCCTGGCTCCCTGCGGCCGGAGCCCCCGGAGTCCCGGCGCGGGGTGGGAGCGCGCGGCGGCCGATCGCCGGCCCCGGGACCCCCCGCCCCCCCAGAGGAGGCCCCGGCTGCAGGGTGACGGGGAGACGCCCGGCCGGGCGCGGGAGGGGCCCCGGCGCCGCGCGCGGGGAGACGGAGGCGAGGAGGGGGCGCTCGGGGGAGCGCGGGGCGCGCGGGGGGCGCGAGCGGGGTCTGGGGGCGCGCGCGGTGGGTGTGGGGGGCGCCGGGCTCACCTACCTCTGCTCAGCGCCGCCATTGCCGGTCACATGACTGAGGCTGTTGCTGGGATGACGGTCGGGGCCTTAGCAACAAGGGCGGGGGGAGACCCCGGGGTGGGGGCGCCGGGCAGGGGTGCGGGCAGCGCGGCAGGTGGGCCGGCGGCGCCCCTCCCCCGGCCCGCGGACCATCCCCGGCTCCTCTGACCCCGCGGGTGCGCGAGCCCCTGCGCCGCCGCCCCCGAAGCGAAAATGGAGGCCGGTCCCCGTCCGGGGAGGGATGGGTGGCGGCGTGCCAGGAGGGTGGGAGGTGAGATCCCCGCGCGCCTCCCCGCGCGCCCCCCCGGCCCCTTCCCGGGGGAGCCGTCGCCCGCGGCCCAGCCCGCGCGTGGAGCCAGCTTCTGCGAGCCGGTGGCCGGGCTCGGGTGGGCGCGGCGCGTCCCTGGAGGGGGACGGGGACGGGGGCGCAGTTCTCCCCGGTCCCTGGGCCACGGCGGGGCCTTTGAGGAACGCCGCGGGGAGGGAAGAGCCGTAGTAAAAGAAGAGCGCTCGTTCTGGAACCGAGAACCCGCAGGCTGAGCTAGTCAGTTTCCCTCCCTCCCCTTCCTAGATTACCTTCCGTGACCCCTGGCTCTCACTCCCACTTGGGCATCCTAACGGCCCCTCCTCTCTCGACGGGCAGGGATACACAGGCCCCGCGCCTTCTTAGAAGAAAACAAACCCTTGGGAGAGGGGGCGTCAGGCCTATCAAGAGTTAAAAACGCTCGGAGGAAGGGGAGAAAAAGCAGCCGTGCTCGGTCCTGCTTCCCACATCAGCCCAATCTCCGCCCCCGTCCAGCTCTCTTCCCCCGGCCTCGGCGAGCCAGGTTTTTGCGGCAGCCTCCGGCCTCTCCCCAGAGCTGGGCTGCCTCCCCGCCACCCTCTTCCTCACTTTCCCAGGACCCCGCGGCACTCTTCTGCCCTCCAGACTGAGGACTTCTTTCCCAGGAAGCCTGGGGGAACACCAAATTCCTTCTCCTTTAGATCATGCGCGGAGAGGCTCACTCACCTTTCCAGAGATGGGAGGTCAAGCCCAGAATTAAGGGGAAGAGGAAGTCACTTTTCCACTCTCCCAGGCAACCCACTTGCTGGGTTCCCACAAAGTTACAGACGGTTCCCTCTCCCCGCCCAGCCCTGAGAAACTCTCTATCGGGTTCAAAGCTATCTGGAACCCGGGTCCTTAGTTAGAACCCAGCACCCGAGAGCTCAGAATTCATCCGCACCCTGACCGCTGGGGCAAGGAGAAGCATTTCTGTGAAGGAATTTGGATTCAATAATTTATTTTTCAGATAGTGATAGAACCCCAACCATGGGGGTAAGGAGAAGCATTTCTGTGAAGGAATGTGGATTCAATAATTTATTTATGTAGTGACAGCAATGGGAGTAAATACACAACATCCTTTTTTTATTAAAAATAAAAATGATGAAAACAGAAGCAACAAATGCTGAAGACCATACCGCTCATGATACATCAGCCACATGGTCAGAAAAACCCATTTCTAAAGAACAGTTGCTGGTGTCGTGGAGTTTTATTGCATTCAACAGGGGAAAAGGTATGGTTGGAATGAACAAGATCCATGAAGCCCCTGACAGGAAGATAATATATGGGGCTCAAACCTTACATAGAGACTCTTCTGCTTCAAAACATTTGGAGTAGAAGACAGAGGAAGAGGGACAATCTCCTTTCTGACCCAAGCCTTCTTGTGAGACAGATCAGTCCGGCCAGATACTGGGCAAGAACCCTTGTGTCACCATTGAGCATTTGCTGGTACCACTCTTCATGTTACAAACGAACGAACAGAAAATCATGGAGCAGCCTCACAGGGATGGAAGGCAGCAAAGAGGATGGCTGCCTCAGCCCCAGAGGCATTGGCGGGCAGGGAGAAGGTGACCTGCCATCCCAGCCTCCTCTGCTTCGGGAGAACAGCATGCGAAAACCAACTCAGCTCTGCTGAGGGGGGCAGGAGGATTGAGTTATGGCTCCGACTCCTCTCTGGGGATGGAGAGTGAAGATGACAAAGAAGGCCATCTGTCCCCTGAGAACAGTAGCAGTCTAAGGCGGGACAGAAGAGAACAGAGTAACAAAATACAACTGGGGAAAGGGTTAGAAGAGCGAAGGGGAAGGAAGTATGCTCAGCGCACACCTCCAGGGAGGAGAGGAGGTTCCCACACTGGAGACCTCCGTTCTCTTGAAATGACCAGGGCAGAACCGGGCAGAGCTATTCCCTTCTGCTGGGACTGAAACGTGAGGGAGGGCTAGACAGAGAGGAAATCTAACATGGGGCCCATTGTTCTCTGCGTCCAGAAGCCCCCACAGACCCACGGAGGGTGCCAGCTGTCCTGGACATGGTGTGGGGGGCTAGTGATGAGCAGCAGCAAGCACCCTCGCCCAGGCCAGGGCTCTCTGGCCATCTCTGGGCTCCTGCACCTTGAAGTGGAGGGGAGGGCGCAGAAGCGGGGGGGGGGGGGGGGGGGGAGGGGGGGGCGGAATGGAAACGGCTAGGACCTTCTCCAAACAGCTGCCTAATCTCACGCGTCTCTCAAGCTTCCTCTCCCCGAGGTGCCAGTCTGCTGACCACTCTGCCCCCGCCGCCCTGTGTATGAGACCGACCATAGCCCGTCACGTGTGTGCCTGCATCCCTGTCTGTAGTGTTCGGAAAGTCCTCCAGCCCAGGGAATACTGGCAGGAAGCACGCCACGCTGGATTCTAAGACGCTCTCGGCGAAACTCAGAAACTCCTCGTGCTGCCCACAGCAAAGTGCATGCCAAGTAGCTGCTGCAGGCAGGCTCAGTCATCAGCCAGGGGCCAACAACCCCCTGCCCCCAGCTCCTCTTCGAAACCAGAGGATGTTTTACAAAGGTCAAGGCACTTGGGAGAGAGGCAGCACGAACACTAATATAGCAAGCAAAATTGTCGGGGCTGGGGTGGGGGGTACTAACGGGACAGGCGGGAGAAAGGACAATGCGCTTCTGAGGTCCAGGAGGAGCCAAGGGTTATGGGAGATGGAAGTGGCGTGCAGCCTTTAGAGCAAAGGAGGAAGAAAAGTGATAGTGGCCAGAGCATGTACGGTCCCTCAAACCTCTCAGAACCCCACCACCTCAGACTTAAAGCAGCAGTCACCGCGGGGTCAGGCAGTCTCTTAGGCAAAGATGTTGGTAATGAAATCTAGGAATCGCTTCGCGTACTGCTCAGGATGGACCGTAGAGATCTCCGCCCCGGCCTGCGAGGGAGTTTGGGACACTGTTAGGGTTCCGCCACAGGCCCCCCCGCCCCCCACTCCCTAACCTCATTCTACTCTAGGGCCTTCCCACACTCCTTCCTTTTGCCACCCTTCTGCTCTGGTATAAGAAGCTTTTTGGGGGGGTCACATCCGGAGTTGCTCAAGGGACCAAATGGAATGCCGGGGACCGAACCCTGGTTGGCCACATGCAAGACAAACTCCCTCTCCTCCGCACTAACACTCCAGCCCCTGAGAGGCTCTTGTCCGCAGCCTCTGAAGCATCGTGATGGGAAGGACTGGCCCGGGAACTCTCACCCCATGCTTGACAGTTTTAGCTGCATGAGCTGCTTTCTTCTTGGCATCATACTGGGTCAGGATGTCAATGAGGCCCATGAAATACACCTCCTTCTGGGGGGCCCCTGGGGGAGAGAGAGGAAAGGGGGGATGAGGGAGAGAAGAGGGTGGGAGGGAGAGGAGAGAGAGACAGACAGACAGAGAGAACACACACATAATGAAGAGCAGGACTAGTCCAAATTTCTTCTCCCCAGGAACCATGTGTCTGTTCACTTTCCCAATGAGCCCCACCCGCACCCCACCCGAGCCCTATTCTAGAAAGTTAGCCAGCTTCTTCACCCACCACCCTGGTTTCTGTTCTCCAAAGACAATCCCCCCCCCCCCCCCCAATTACACTGCCAAGGTCTGTCTCACCCTCGGCACTCCGGATGGCGTAGACATCAATGAAGGCTTCGAACTCGCCAGGGCCCAGGGGCCGATGGGAATGGATGTAGCCTCCAATACCCTCGGGGGAGGTGCCGTAGGAGCCCACCAGGGCGGGAGGCCCAGCCAGGCCAGAGTCTCCGTCCCCCTCCGGCTCCTCCTCTCGTGGGGGCCCCTCCTCCTCTGGCTCGGAGCCCCGGATGATGTCGTGAATGCCCAGCAGAAGGCTGTAGTCCATGATCTTCAGCTGCACTAGGAACTGAGACCCCACTGACAAGTCAGACTCTCCTGAATGCCTCTCCCCACCCCAGATGCCAAACTCCTAGCTCCACCCCTGACTGCGGGGGCCCCTTAAGACATGTGAGACTTGCGGGCTGAGAGAATATCCCCGCCCTCTACTGCCTAAACGGCTGGGTTTCTGAGGTTTATTCCCCACCTGTCTCCATGGGTAACCTCCAGGGGGTTTCCAGCCCCGTGCCCAATTCCCCACTAGGCAAAGAATCCAAAGAATAAAGAGAAGATCGCTCAGGGAGAGACAACTGTCCTGCAGGCAGCAAGAGGAAGGAGCAGCGCATTTTCTGCGGGCACCCCTCATCACCTCCACGTCTCTCTTCAGCTTCTCCAGAAAGACTTTCTTCTCCTCTTCACCAATATAAACTTTCTGGTTCTTGTTAAGAAAGTCCATATCCTTCAGTGTGGGCAGCTCCTTCACCTGAGAAAGGGAATCGATGTTTGCGGGAACAGATTCTGTCTCCCGAAAAGAGCTTGCTTCTACAAGCCCAAGAACAAGAGAGCGTCTCGTGCTCATCAGACTGTGATACTGCTCCAAAGTCTGATCTCGCCTCCAGCCGCTTCCCCAGACTCACTGCAGCTAAACCACAAATTGGTTTTATGGTTTTTAGGCAAGACCCCCCAGGGTGACTTTTCTTCTTCACAAATAGCTATATGAGTGCAAGAGACCAGGAATGAGAGGTAATGGGGAAGCCCTTTGCTTCCCTAGTTTGACAGCGCCACAGCCCCCTCCCCAACCTGCAAGCCATCCCCACCGAGAATGCAGGCCAGCAAGCCGCTGTCCCCACTGCTCCCTCTGGCTGTCCATGTCATCAGTTCAAGTCTCCTAACTCTGTCGGCGGTTTAGATCAGAATAAGGAACTGCTGAGCTCGACCTCTTTACCCCAGGACGCCCCTTCCACACATCCTCCCCACCCTGCACCTGTCACTGGAAATTAATATTTACCTTTTCCTTATCGCTGGCTTCCCGAGAAACTAGGGACCCCTACAAAGAGACCCAAAGAGCAAGTTAATGCAAGTGATTAAATGCCCAGCTCCTACGCTGGAGAGATAGTACAGGGGTCCAGGCTTCACCCATTTGATCCCAGACCATATACGGTTCCCAAGAACTGCCAGGACAGAGCCCTTAGTACAGAGCCAGGAGGAGCCCCTGGGCACAACTGGCTATGGCCCCCAAGCCCCAAAAGACAAAAAAGGCCAGCTCCTCAAACAAACCATTCGGGTTGGGAGACAGGATCGGGTTTGGGTACATGCCAGGAAATCTAGGTTCCATCCTTGGCACCCATGGGCCCCGAAGCATCACTGGGTATTGCCCTGGAGGTCCCTGAGCACTGTCACAGTAGCCCTGGCGGTCCCCAGCCCTGCAGGCTCAGAACAGCACTGCATCCGGAGGCCTAACTCTGAAGCCCCTCTTTAGTCTGATAAGCATCATCAGGAATGCCTCCGTGCTCCCTGAGCACTGCCCCCAACAAAAGAGAATAAATAAAATGAACCAGGCAGGAGCTGGTGGGATGGCGTAAGGGACCCCAGCGCATAGTTTACATGCAGAAAGCCTGTAACTCAACGGGCTCTCCAAACAGTCAGGAGCTAGCCCCGAGCACTGACCTTGGAGGAACCCCGAAGCACCACCAGATGTGATGCCAAGCGACAATGATTCACTCAGTGCCTCAAAGCCAGGAAGTCCTGGCAGCATCCTCCTACCCCCATCTCTACCCCCCGCCCCCAACAAAAGATGTCAGAACTGAATCACGCCGTGCACCGCCACTCGTGGGCCTTCCAGAGTCCCCTCCCTCCCGACCCTGAGCACGCCTCTCCTTACCTTCAGGTCGTACTTTCTGTGCACAGGAAGGCGGTGGCTAAACATGTTGCGCATCACGAGCATGTAGCTATCTTCGTTGTCCACACTAACTCGGTACATGCCCAGGAACTGGGGCAGCAGCGTGCTGCCGTGGCACTTCACGATATACTGGGGCGGAAGGGAAAAAGGTGGGGAGGCCAAGCATCCAACCCCGGGCCACCACAGGCGGGATGCAGACACCACCAGTCCGGAGGGGGCACGACACCTTCAGAGAGGTGACCCAGACTCGTGGTCACCGCGGCTTTTTCCAAAGCGGCCCTGCTCGCCTGCAGATGCGGCGGCTCTAGCTCCTCAGCTTCACTTCATTCGGGTACTGTCTCTTTATCTTAAAATGATTTACCTCCTTTCTCAATCTCTGATATGGGAATGTGAGTGTCACTGATGCTTACTTTAGACCCTTCTGTGCAAGCTGTCACAGAAACATGATTGGAAATGACATTCAGCAGGGCAGGAGAGATAGTATGACAAGTAAGACACTTGCCTGGTATGCGGCCAAGCCAGGTTCAATCCCTGGCATCCCCTATGGTCCCCTGGGCACCACCAGGAATGATTCCTGAGTGCAGAGCCAGGAGTAACCCCTGAACACTGCAAGGTGTGGCCCCAAAACCAAACCAACAGAAGTACCCCGAAGAAACTACATTCACCTATGAAGTTATTTTCTGGCAGTGCATCGTCTCTTCATGCATTAGATTCCCCATGTATGCTCGATGGTATATGACACAGGTTCTTAAATTATCCAGCCTTTCAGGGCCCATCTCTCTCGGTATTGCTGCCGACTTTTTATATTTCTCAGAAAATAGTATTTCTTAGACATATTATTCAGCAACTGATCCATGTCCTGTCTACCATTCATATGTCAAACAAATGAAATCAGATTTATACCCTCTTTCCTCCTCTGAAATCTCACTCCACCTCCCTCTCCCCAATACGTGCTGTCAAATCCCATGGGTCACTGTCATATTCCAGCTGGGTGGCACTTGATGCTACTTATGTTTCTGCTAAGGACTCACCACTAGTGGGACAGAGATAGTACAGTGGGCAAGACGCTTGCCTGGTGGCTGACCCAGGTTCAGTTCCTACCACCATATCGTCTTCTGAGCCCTGCTAGTAGTAAACCCTGAGCACTGCTGGGTATGGCCCCCAAAACAAAACAAAACTTGGGGGCTGGAACGATAGCACAGCGGGTAGGGCGTGTGCCTTGCACGCAGCTGACCCGGGTTCGATTCCCAGCATCCCATATGGTCCCCCGAGCACCGCCAGGGGTGATTCCTGAGTGCAGAGCCAGGAGTAACCCCTGTGCATTGCCGGGTATGACCAAAAAGCAAAAACAAAACAAAACAAAACTCTCTTCACTTGGGGCTGGGGTGGCACAAGCTTTAAAGCATAGGCCTAGCATGCATAAGCCCCTGAATTTAATCGCTGACATTGCATGTGCCCCTACTACTGCTGGGGGTGACACTGGTGGCCCGAGCTTACTAGGCCAAGGCACTCAAATGTCAAGGCCAAGAACCACTGGACTGACCTCAGGCCCCTAACTCATCACCAGTGGCGTTAGCCCCTAGGCCCCTACAAAAATCAGTTCTCCAGGCTGGATTACATGCTTTACATGCAGAGATCCAGGTTCCATCCCCAGCACCACATGGTCCCCTAGCACCACCGGGTGTGGCCCAGTGGGGTTGGGGGGAGGGCAGAAACACACACACACACACACACACACAAACACAGCAACACTCTTTACCCTGAGTTCCTGTTACACCATTCGTCTGCGATTATCCTGTCCTCAAATCCTATATGGAATGAAGTAGGTCAAGCATAATTAAAAGCGTCTATCTATTCTTGATCTCCTTTATGATAAGCTTCTTCTCCCTCCTTGCTTCTTAGCTTCTGACCTTAACTTTCTGTTCATTTCACTCCACATACTTCCCTTTGATAATCTAAATGCATGGCTTTACCTACCCTTGGTGCGCCTCTAACTCTCAAGCCTAGACTTCTGCTCTGATTCTCTTTCCTAAACGCCAAACCCCAACCGTTAGGAACCAGGAACCCTCAATTCAACCATTTCCCTCCAAAAACTTGTTTTTTTCTTGCTCCCCAACTGTTACTGAATTAATCCAAAACAGGAAAATGGCGGCTGGAGAGATAGCACAGCAGATAGGGCGTTTGCTTTGCACGCGGCCGAACCGGGTTCGATTCCCAGCATCCCATATGGTCCCCTGAGCACCACCAGGAGTAACTCCTGAGTGCAGAGCCAGGAGTAACCCCTGTGCATCGCCGGGTGTAACCCAAAAAGCAAAAAAACAAAACAAACAAACAAAAAAAAACCAGGAATATGGAAACATCTTTGCCTCAATTCCCTCAATTCTCCTCAGGGGTTTTTCCTTTCCATTCCCACTGCCATCATTTCCCCAGGGCCCTGTCTTTTCTCACTTAGACTATTAAAATCACCTCCACAGAATGAGGCCATGGCTCAGTGTTCAGGGGTACATTCCCTGCATGCACAGGGAGCCGACTCTGATCCCCAGCACTGCATGGCACCCCTGAACACCACCGGGTTGCTCTGGCGGTTCCCAGCACCACAAAGTCCAAGCATTGCACATCAGCCTGCTTGATGACCAAGTATCACCAGTAGGGGCCCCTGGGCTCTGTGAACACTGCTTGGGAGATACCAAAAGTCAGGAAATAAAATAATTAATCTTTATTACCAGTTTTCCTCTTCTAATCCATTCTCTAAAATGCTGCCACACAGGGTCAGAGAAATAGTTCTGAGGTTAAGGCAGTGGTGGCCTTGTAAGGTAAGTGGTGGCCTTGTAAGCCACCAACCCTGATTCAATACCCTGCACCACATTATGATCCCCCAAGTGCTTCTGTAAGTGACCCTTGAGCACAAAGTCAGGAGTAGCCGTGGAAAATCACTGGGTAAGGCCCCAAATCCCTTTCCAACCAAAATAACTGGTAAAAGAGTGCAGCCACAGGGACATATCTAAATGACCTATATATCATTTCCCAGCACCCCACCTTCAGAATAAAGGTCCAAGTTCTGTGATTCATAAATCATCTGGTTCCTGTTTCCCCATAATACCATATTGTAGTCACAATGATTTTCTGAAAACTCCTCACCATCAAGCTCTCTCATGGCTCTGCCTTCACAAGCACTATTTTCCTTTGCTTAGAATGTTCTGTTGGACCTCATTCAACAGTTAACCCTGACTCATCTTTTAAGATCCTACTCCTACAGGGCTTGAGAGATAGTACAACGGGTAGGGCGTTTGCCTTGCATGCCGCTGACCCATGTTCGATCCCTGGGATCCCATACGGTTTCCAAAAGCCTGGCTAGGAGTGATACTTAAGGGAAGAGTCAGGAGTAAGCCCTGAGTACCGCTGGGTGTAACCCTGCCTCCTCCCACCAAATAATCTATTCCTATGACACTCCTCTCCTAACAAGTCTCATTAGGCTCCAAAGTGCATCACTTTTGCTTGATGAGCTCATGTGCTCTTCCTCTCCCACGCCCCCACCCCCCCGCCCCACAAGAGCATTCTGTGCCATGGACGCACTTCACTGAGTGCTAATACTTACTTCCTGGTTTCTATCATGAGAACAAGAGGTTCCTAAGAGACTGGGACTGTTTCAGACTGTTCCATTCACTTCTATAGTTTCTTTTTCTGCTTCCCAACTGTTGCTGAATGAACACCCAACTGTCTTTCTATACTTTCATTATTTCTACACTTTCAAAAATCTCATACTTCTATACTTCTTTCTATACATATATAGAGGGCCTACTAATATTTACTGACCAAAACAGAGACCTTTTGGAACCTTTATTTTTTTTCCTTTTTGCCTTTTTTGGGTCACACCCAGCGATGCACAGGGGTTACTCCTGGCTCTGCACTCAGGAGCTACTCCTGGCAGTGCTCAGGGGACCATATGGGATGCTGGGAATCGAACTTAGATCGGCTATGTGCAAGGCAAATACCCTACCCGCTGTGCTTTCTCTCCAGGTCCAGGTACTTTTACTTCTTGCCCATTGATTTTATTGAGATTTTTCGTCAGTAGAAAGACATTCAAGTGATGTTTTTATGTCTATTTGTTTATCCTGGGGTGGAAGAGTTTGAGGTCACATCTGGTGGTACTCAGGTAATAATTATTATTAATTTTTAAAGTTAATTTCTCAGGGACTACTCCCAGCTTGGTGCCTAGGGCCTGCTAACTAGTTGAGACTAGGAGAACTAGGCCTCCTGCACACTGAGCAGGCATACTAACCCTTTGAGTTATCTCCCTGCCCTCTTAGACAATGTATTTACTGTCAAAATATTTCAGGAACTGCAATCTCCAAGTAAATTTGAGAAGATAGAACAGCTTCCCTAATCCCACAGAGGCTGGATACAGGCATGGTTCACCCCTCCAATCCATCCTGACAGTGCACTATCCTGATTTTCCCCAAACTGCCTTCACTCCTGTCATTAAGATAGAACTAATACTTAGTCTACATTTTTCATTTTACACTTTGCTATAAGTGTGCTCTATATCTTTTTTTTTTTTTTTTTGCTTTTTTGGGTCACACCTGGCGATGCACAGGGGTTACTCCTGGCTCTGCACTCAGGAGTTACTCCTGGCCGTGCTCAGGGGACCATCTGGGATGTTGGGAATCGAACCCGGGTCAGCCGCATGCAAGGCAAACGCCCTATCTGCTGTGCTATCTCTCCAGCTCCATGCTCTATATCTTTTAACCCAGAGTAGTGAGAAAGAACATACCTAAATTCTTCTATTTAGTCACCTACTGTAGGTATGTTAGAGGTCCTTTTTCTGCCTTTTTTGTCGGGGGTGGGGGGCACACTTGCAGTCATCACTGGCTACTCCTGCATGGTGCTGAGCAAACCCAGGCCTACCACAAGGAAAGCATATGCATTCTAGACCTTTGAGCCAGCTCCCTAGCCCATAGAAGCCCTTTGGGCCATCTCCCTAGACCTGTAGAGCAATTTTTAAAAAATTTTCCAGTTTCAGGGCCAGGAATGGGGCTCAGTGGAGGAATCTTGAGACCAGTCACTTTTTAAAAATTATTTTCTTGGGGCCGGTGCTATAGCACAGCAGGTGGGGCATTTGCCTTGCACGCCCAACCCGGGTTCAATCCCCGGCCTCCCATATGGTCCCCCAAGCCCTTCAGGAGTGATCCATGAATGCAAAGCCAGGAGGAAGCCTGGAACAATGCCAGGTGTGGCCCCCAAACAATAAAAAATCAAAATAAAAAAACCAAGAGATGATGGAACAGGGGTTAAGGCACATGATTTGCATGTACAGACAACCCTGGCTTCATTTCCCGGCACCACAAGGAACCCCAGCACTACTGGGTAGAGCCCTGAAGGCCCCAAAGAACCACCATATGTGGCCCTGGAGCTCCCTCAGCACTGCTGGGATGCCCCCAGGTAATTCCCAGCACTGCAGGGTCCAAATAGCATAGCATTCAGGACCCTAGCACTGGCTCAAATAGCATAGCATTCAGGACCCTAGCACTGGCTCACCAGACAGGTTAAGAACCGCAGGAAGGTGGGGCTGGAGCGATAGTACAGCGGGTAGCTGTTTGCCTTGCACATAGCCGACCCAGGTTCGATTCCCAGCATCCCATATGGTCCCCCAAGCACGGCTAGGAGTAATTCCTGAGTGCAGAGCCAGGAGTAATCCCTGTGCATCGCCAGGTGTGAACCAAAAAGCAAAAAACAAACAAAATCACAGAAGGAAAGGATGGTTGTCTTGGGACTGGAGAAATAGTATGGGAAGGGTGTTTGCTTTACATATGGCCAATCTGGGTTCAATTCCCAGCACCCCATATGGTCCCCTGAGCACTTTCAGGACTGATCCCTGAGTGCAGAGGCAGGAGTAAGTCCTTGATGTGGCCCAACCCCCCTCCCCCAAACAAATAAACAATAAAGAACCTCAGGGAGGGGTCCTAAGACTTCTGGGAAATGTTCAGGAAGCCAAGAAAAAATTAAGAGAAAGAATCAAATTGGGGCTGGAATGATAGCACAGTGAGCAGGGTGTTTGCTTTGCATGCAGCTGACCCAGTTTCGATTCCCAGCATCCCATATGGTCCCTTGAGCACTGCTAGGAGTGATTCCTGAGTGCAAAGCCAGGAGTGTGAGCATCGCCGGGTGTGACCCAAGAGAAAAAAAAAAGAAAAAGAATCAAATCAAATCAGAGCCAGAGAGCTTAGTGGGCTAGAAGCATGCTGTGCATGTTGAGCACAGAATGGGGTGTAGCCTCCAGAGCCACGTATTCCCCCCAAAACCAGAAGAAAACAAAAACATCATCCCTAAGTGCTTAAGGAACAAAATGCACTACTGGAAGGAAAAAGGAAAGGACGAGACTGAAGAGAAGACCGACCTGGTGGTAGTTGGAGAGGTTGCTGTGCATATCGGCAATGTCCTCACTTGAAACTTCCTTGATGACGAGCGTTCGATCATAGGAGATAAGGAAGCGACCATCACTGCCTTCACTTTCATTTGGAGGGCTTCGGGTAAGGGACACCTGGGGATAGAGAACAGGGCAAAGGTTCTTTCCCTCATCGTTTAATGTGAAAATGTTGTAAGATAGTGGCTAACTGGCCATGGCTGCAAGGGAACAGAGCCCTGATTTAAAAGGCCACATAAAGGGTTTGAATATAATTCCCAAATACAAACTGGATGATAAAGAGAGCAAAAATTCTTGTTTCTGAGATTTTCCTCTCAAAGTTAGGGTTTAAATTTTCATCCGTTTTGAAGTTTTTAAATTTTTTTTGACAGGGGCCCCAAACCCGACGATGCTCAGGGTTTGCTCCTGGCTGTACACTCAGGAATCACTGCTGGTGGTGCTTGAGATGCCGAAAATCGAACCCAGGTTGGCTGCGTGAAGGGCGAACACTCTATCCACTGTACTCTCAGGCCCCTCATCATTTTTTGAAGATGTCTGAGACCACAAGATAAGGAATTATATTTGCTAAGGCTTTCAGCTTTCATTTCTCCAATCATAAATTCCCAGTTGCTGAGAGAAAAGTCTGCCCTCAATAATTATTGGGCTCTCACCAAGTAATCCTGGTCATCAATGCCAAATCGATCACGGAGGTTCCTGAAGACCTGAGGACAGTACTCCTTGAACTTAAAATGACTGGGCAGATTTTCCCTAAAAGAGGGTTTTCGTGGTAAGAAAACAAAGCAACAATATTACATTTGTATAGGGCCGAAAAGTTTATGAAACACCCTCACAGACATTACTTTATTTGATTATCATCAAACCCTGTGATAACCTTGAAGGTGTATTATTTCCATTTTGTAGTGGGGAGAGACTGTAATTAAAGATGGCTGAATGATCTGCTCTAGCTGTATGGCTGGCAAATACCTTAAACAGAATCAAGATCTTCTGTCCGCCAAATCAGCATTTCCCAAAACTCAAGCCAAGTGGAGACATCCTAAAATCAGCAACAGCTGCCCTGTTCTGATGGCATTTTCCCTCAACAGGAGGGCTTTGGGAATCCAGGTACTCCTTTCTTGGTGCCGCTATCAAAAATGTATGGAAGTAGCATCTAAACATATTTACTCAAGGAACTCAAGTAACTGAAGGCTGAAGGAGAGAAAAATTAGTGAATATCCTATAAAGCTACAGGGAAAGGAAGTTTAGACCACACAATTTAGAAGTTGCTTTCTAAGTTTAAAACTCAAGTGAATTGGCAGGGGTTGGGGTGTGGGGCGTTGGGTGACACCCGTTGATGCATAAGGGCTTTCTCCTGGCTCTCAGGAATCATTCCTGGTGGGTCTCAGGGGCCAAATGTGGTGCCGGGAATTGAACCCGTGTTGGCCCAATTGTCCTACCCACTATATCATCTCTCCATCCCTCACTGAATCTTTTAATTCTTAAAATGGCATGTTACTGTTTTCTTGGGTAGGCTGACAGGATAAGGGCAGAAAGTCCCACCTGTGGAAAAGGTGATTGTTGACCTTGATCTTAGAGCTGGCTTTAAAATCATCCGGCAGCAGCATCACTGGGGGCGGCACCTGGCTTAGCTCATTGATCTGAAAAACCAAAAGGAGAAAAGGGAGGCAAGTGAGCAGGGTTAGAGAACGCTACTCATACACTGTCTGGGCAAGAGTCAGGAGAAGCACCTCAAAGCTCATTCCTTCCCCGACAGTGGCTCTGTATGCGCCTGACAGAGGTGCGAGAATGTGGCCAGCCGCTCCTGCTACCCAAAAGGACTGCAGCAAGCTGCCCTCACACACAGTCCCCCACACTCACGCCCCCACGGAACTAAATGCTCACAACAGTCATTTTATATTAGGCAAACCCTGTAAGCAGCCCAGGACTATTTTTAAAGCTGTGAGAAATTCTAGAGAAAGAAGAAAAAAAAAAAAACCTTCAGTCTCAGTCAACCCTAGCCTCTCAAGACAAACAGTTCCATGCTCCATTAAAAACAAAACAAAAAAGGCATTTTTCAAGTACACAAGAGAGTGAACCAGACTCTGAGGGGGGTCAAGAAATGACAGTATCCTGCAAGAGGCGGCTCCTTACAAACAGGAAGGTCCTTTCAGACCACCTTGAGGAGGTTCTTTCTCTGCAGCAGGCCGCCCTGCTTGCCTAGGTTGAGGTTAAAAAAAGAGAAAGAAGGAAAAAGAAAAAGAGCAGCTGGTTTCAGAGGGTATGCAGGCAGGCAGAGGATATGAGTTCATCAGGGGCTCATTAGGCCTCTATTCACAGCACAAAATATGCAAACATCACATGCTCTCCTAGTCGAACCCCCACAACTGCAGTCTGCTATCTGCCGTTGAGAGAAGAGTTACAGTATGAAGAAATTCCAAGGAGATTCGATTTCTGCCCAGTGCTGTCCCAGAAGCTTTCTCCTACCTATATTAGCATACTGATCATGGGCCTCTGATCTCTGCTTCCTATACACTATTACCCACACCTAGTCTGAGCTCAAGGGAGAGGACAACTTCTAGTCACCTGCACCCCTTGCGTGCCTGGCTAGCACAATGTTCGGCACACAGTGGACCCGAAGCACTTATAAACTAAATAAATGCATCCCCTGCTCATCCTTGCGTGATCATTCAACAGAGGTTATGAAGTACAGTCTAAACTAAATTCCCTATACCGCGGTGAAACCCAGCTTCTCTTATTCTCAGCAAAGGAGGACAGAACACATTCCTTCAGGAAGGGGGGGGAAGTCACTTGTGATTCCCAGCTAAAATTCAGCTATGGTTCTTCATGCCCCCCTCCTCGTCACCTGCTGTCAAGCAGGCTGAGTCATCAGTAGGGCATATGCTCAAGGAATTTCTTCATTCTAAACACTAGAAGTGTGTGTTGGCTGTAGAGTGGGTGTTGAGGCTAATATATATATAACGTATGTGTGTGTGTGTGTGTGTGTGTGAATATACACATACCTAGGAAGCTGAGGCAGGTATTATGTGGAATTCTACCAAAGAAAACCCCTCTTGTTAAGCTTCTGGAACCTGGAGATAGATGAGTCACCTAAAAGGTGCATTTGAGAAGCAGCCCTGCTTCCATCAGCCTTGCCCATCCCAAGTGCCGGAGACTGATGATAGGGAGCTGGGAGAAGTCCACCCAGTCACAGACCTCAAGGAGTGAACCGGCATCCCCACATCATGACACTCTAAGCCACAAATTAACGCCATGAATAAAACGGTTCTTTCTTATTCTCTGTAACTCTGCCTTAAGAATTCAAGGGGTTTGCTTTATTCTGGCACATTCAAGGTCACTGCATCCCTTCCACTCCAGATCTGCGGGAAGGGGACAGCTTCCTTCAAGAGACCCCGGGAAAGATTAACTGGCCTCTCTGGCCTCTTCCTGATCCCCACGTCACCCTCTAATTCCCTGCTTCTAAAGTTCATTACCTTTGAGTCTCCAGGACCCAAACTCCTCACCTACTTACATCATCACTTCAGTCAAGGGGGTGCAGTTAAAACCAATGGCATATAGACATAATTCCCGAGTGAGTGTGGGGTTTGGGGGAGTAGCTTCTTTGAAATGCTGTTCCTCTGGAAAGAAAAGGGACAAGCAGGATTAAAAGGTCCAGGAAGCCCGCAGCTTCCCTAAAGCCAAGGATTCAAAGTCAAGGGCTGCAGCTGGAAAGCAAAGCGGAAAGAGAACTGAACAGGTCCCCCCCCCACCCCGCAACACACACACACACACACACACACACACACACACACACACGCCGATCTTCCAGCTCCCTTCCGTGCTCTCCGACACACACACTCTCACCCCAGACACACACCAACAACCCTGAAGGGCCACTCCCCCTAACGTCCTTCCAACCGGAGCCCGGTACTGGCCGGTCCCGTAGCCTGGGGCTGGGGCTGGAGCGGGCAGGAAGGCGGCAGGGAACTGGATCTCGGGCGGGGAAGGAGGAACCGGAGGGGGAGAGGAAAGGGCAGGACGGTGACCCAAACCTTATCGTCTAAACAGACTGTCTCCAGCGAGAGGAGACTCGGGGGAAACACCTGAGCCAGGTGCGCAGGGACGCGGGCAGGCGGGGCAAAGGTGGTGGCGCAAGAGATGCCGAGACGGGAGCCGAGGAACCAGGGCCAGCGGGAGGGCGCGGGGCTCAGAGGGTCGGGGGCGCGGGGCTCAGAGGGTCAGGGGCGCGGGTGCCGGGTCAGAGCGGGTCTCACCGAGTGGGATACGCCCCACAGGAACACGCCCACCAGCGGGTCGGCCGCCCGGAACACCTTCACCTTCTGCTGCACGAAATGCTTCTTCTTGGTTTTGGAGGCGAAGCCGAAGCCCGGGCCGGGGGCCGAAGTCGCCGCCGGGACAGCGGCCGGCGGGACCGAAGAGGACGCCATCGCCTCCCGCGTACCCGACCGAGGGGAAGCCGGAGCCGGCCGCGATCCGGGCTCCCGACCCCGGAAGCGGTGCTCACCTGCGCGCCGTCACGTGACCGGAGCCGGGCTGGCGCGCGCGGGGGCGGGGCGAGGCTGGCTCCGCCCCCGGCGCCCGGGCCGTGGGTGGGCCCGGCGGGCGCCCGGGGCGGCGGGGAGCGGACCCTTGGGCTGCGGCCCCCGCATCCCATCCCCGCGCCCTGACGGTCGGCGCGAGGGTCGGGCCGCGGCCGGGCCGGGCGTGGCTCCGTCGCAGGCCGGGAACTGCTTTGCCGCAAAGTCGCGGCCTTCTGGTTTGACCCGGTTTCTTCGTGTCATCAGCCTCGGAGACTTAACCCGAAACCTCCCGCCTTTGCTTAGCACCGACTGGAGTGGGGCGCATCCGGGGGCGGGGCAGGGGGCTTCAGAATTCTTTCTTGGGACCCCAGGCACCTTGTGAGTCGAATCATTGACTCATTCTATGAGTATTTATTGAACCTCCACTCGATTCTCGTCCTTTGAATGGGGCAGGGGTTGGAGTTCTGTCCTACTGGGGTTCGGAGTCCAATGACACTAGTTGGCCAAAGGGGAGAGCGGCAATCTCTAGGAGAGATAAGGCTCTGTCGAACTCTATGGGAGGCGTGCCATGAACACAAAGGACGGGCAGCTGGTCAAGGAAAACTTAAAAGAGGATAAAGATTGAATTTCCTGTGGAACACTTAGAGTTAAGTGCAAGAGATTGGAAGAGCCGGGAGGAAGGTGCTCATCTTGCACACTGGCAGACACTTCTTTGATCCCCAGAACTGCATCTGGTTCCGACAGCACCACCGGGTGTGGTCCCCAAACAAAAACGAAAAAAAAAAGAGCAAGGGGTTAGGGGCCCCGAAAAATAGTACAGCAGGCAAGGTATTTGCCTTGCCTCTGGCAGACCCAGCTTGGATTCGGCACCATCTCAACACCACCAGGAGGGATCCCTGAGTGCAGAGCCATAAGCCCTGAGCACAGCTGGGTGTAGCCCACCAATTTTTTTTTTCTTTTTGGGTCACACCCGGCGATGCTCAGATGTTACTCCTGGCTCTGCACTCAGGAATTATTCCTGGACGTGCTCCGGCGACCATAGGGGATGCTGGGAATTAAAGCCGCGTGCAAGGCAAATGCCCTACCCGCTGTGCCATCGCTCCAGCCCCCTTAAATTTTTTTAAAGCTAAGAATTAAAGGATTTTCAGCCAGAAAAAAAAGTGTATAAAAGCATAGAAATAAAGAATAAATCTTAGTCTTTTTCTGGCAAACGTAAGCAAAACCAGAGAGGAAGCTAGATAGTCCAGCAGGTAATGTACTTGCCTAGCGCAGAGCTCACCTAAAAAATTCTATCCTTTGCACAGCATAGGGTCCCCAAAAGCCTGCAAGGAGAGATCTCTGAGCACAGGCCCAGGAACTGAGAAGTGGGGGGTAAAGTAAGTGTTTGGTTTTATTTATTTATTTATTTATTTATATGGGCTGGAGCGATAGCATATCAGGTAGGGTGTTTGCCTTGCATGCGGCCGACCCAGGTTCGATTCCTCCGTCCCTCTCAGAGAGCCCGGCAAGCTACCAAGAGTACCCGGCCCGCACAACAGAGCCTAGCAAGCTCCCTGTGGCATATTCGATATGCCGAAAACAGTAACAACAAGTCTCATAATGGAGATGTTACTGGTGCCAGCTTGAGCAAATCGATGAACAATGGGAGGACAGTGCTATATTCATTTATTTGTTTATTTTAGCTTTGGGGGGCCACCAAATGCACAGGGCAATGCACAGGGGTTACTCCTGGCTATGTACTCAGGCGTTACTCCTGGCAGTGCTCGGAGATCATATGGGATGCTGGGAATCGAACCCCGGTCAGCCGCATGCAAGGTAAATGCCCTACCCACTGTGCTATCACTCCGGCTGGTTGGTTTTAAGGGCCCCACCCAGCGGTGCTCAGGGGTTACCCCTGGCTCTGCACTCAGGAATTACTCTCCGCAGTGCTCGGGGGGCCATATGGGATGCCAGGGATCGAACCCAGGTTGGCCGCATGCAAGGCAAATGCCCTACCCGTTGTGCTATCGCTCCAGCCCCAGAAACTACATTTTTTCATTTTGGTTTTCAGGTCAATCAGAGCTACTCACTGCTTGATGCTTGACCTCACTCCTAAACGGAAGAGCTGGTTTGGAGGAGAGAGTGAGAAGGACCAGGGAGAGCAGGGGATGGAACTTGGACCTCTGGCATGCAAAGAATGCTCCAATCCTTTGAGCTATCTCTCTGGACTCAAGGAGCAAGATTTAAGGTGGGAGAGAACAGGCACAGAGATCCCATATTTATTATTTGTTTATCGTGTGTGTGTGTGTGTGTGTGTGTGTGTGTGTGTGTGTGTGTGATGCCAGGTAGGGAACCCAGGGTTTAACATAGGCAAAGTACCCACCCTAATGCTGAGCCACATCTCCAGTTCTAAATGTGCTTTTAGGACTATTCAGGCATTTTCGAGCATGATGGTATATTGCAAAACTATAGGCAAGAGATGATGAACTAAAACTGTGTTGGTTGGGATGGTAGAAAGAATAGTATTTAAAGATATGTTAGAAAAACTCTGGGCCTGGGAGAGAGGATATAGGTAAGGCAATTGCCTTACAGGTGACTGACCCAAATTAAATGTCCATCACTGCATATGGTCCCTGAAGCCCCACCAGGAGTGATCTTAATTGCAGAGCCAGGAATATGCCCTGAACACCATCAGTGTGGCAAAAAAGAGGGGGTTCGTAGTGTATTTGGGGTTTGGGGGAAAAGGAAACACTGAGAATCAGTCCAGGCTTCAGAGAGGTGGTGTTGAGATGAAAACAATCAGTTTGAGGGAATATAATTTGTATAGCAAGTAGGGAACTTGCCCTGCACGCAGCCGACCTGGATTTGATCCCCAGCATCCCATATGGTCTCCAGAGCTCTGCCAGGAGTGATCCCTGAGCTCAGATCCAGGAGTAAGCCCTGAGCATACAGATGTGATCCAGAAAAAAAAAAAAAGAAAGGAAAGAAAAAAAGAGGAAGGAAGGAAGGAAGGAAGGAAGGAAGGAAGGAAGGAAAGAAGGAAGGGAAAAAAGGGAAATATGAGTTCTTTTTGGAGAAGAATGTTCAGGGCTCAGCAGACTGGTCTGGGTCTGGCACAAAAATTTAATTTTTATCATAGAATCTGAGGTCAAGATAAGAATCAAGGACAGAAGCCTAGTATAGATCAGCATTTAATAGGCTGTTGCGGGCTGGGCTGGAGCAATAGTACAGCAGGTAGAGCATTTGCCTGATCCAAGCATTCCTTATGGTCCCCAAGTACCTCCAGAGTAATTCCCGAGTGCAGAGCCAGGAGTAACCCCCAGCATCACTGGATGTGGCTCCAAAACAATCAAACAAAAAAGGTGGGAGAGGGCAGAGAAGTTAAAGGAACTAGGGTAGCAGGCTCACAGAAGACAAAGGACTCAAGTTTCTAGAAGGAAGGAGTGGAAAGCAGTGTCATGTTAAATGTCATGGAGAGGTAAGGCTGGACAAGGACTGAGAAGTGCCTTTGGAAGTGCAGTCTCAGTCAAAAAGCCAGATCAAGGTGGTTTAAGTACTGAGTTGGAGGTGAGGGAAGTGGGCATGGGAAGCTAGGGACTTTTTAAGGAAACTTGATTGTAAAGAGACAAAATTGGAGATTCCATTTAGAGAAGGGAGAGGGAGGATGTTAAAGGAGATCTTACAGGAAGGAAGCAAAGACTTTGAGACAGAAGTTAACAAGGATGCAAACTACTCAAGTCTGCACTAATTTTTTTTTTTTTGCTTTTTGGGTCACACCCGGCGATGCACAGGGGTTCCTCCTGGCTCTGCACTCAGGAGTTACTCTTGGCAGTGCTCAGGGGACCATATGGGATGCTGGGAATCGAACCCGGGTCGGCCACGTGCAAGGCAAACGCTCTACCCGCTGTGCTATCTCTCCAGCCCCTGTACTCTTTAATTTTATATGTTGTGTTTTGTCTCAAGAATAAAGATTCTGGGCCGGAGCGATAGTACAGCAGATAGGGCGTTTGCCTTGCACGTGACCAACCCGGGTTCTATTCCCAGCATCCCATATGGTCCCTCAAGCACCGCCAGGAGTAATTCCTGAGTGCAGAGCCAGGAGTAACCCCTGAGCATTGCTGGGTGTGACCCAAAAAGAAAAAAGAAGGGAATAAAGAGTCTGGGGGCTGGAGAGATACTGTAACAGGTAGGGCACTTACCTTGCATGTAGCTGATCTGGGTTCTCCCTCCAGCACACCATATGGTCCGCCAAGAACCTCTAGGAGTGATTCCTGAGTTCAGAGCCAGGAATCCTGTCCTGAATACTGCTGGTGTCTCCAAAACAACAACAAGGGACTTGTTTGGTCCCTTAAAAGGAAAAATCTGTGCAGATAGAGATATGTGTATAGATGTGCATAGTGCAGGGCGGAGGTGGGGTGGTAGATGAAGAATTTCATGTTCATTTACATTAATTTTCCTTTTAAAGCAGGGAACTTACTGCTGAAGGAAAAGGAGACACCATCTTTAAGTGTGAGGGCATAGATGAGTCTTCAGGGAAGGGAGAGGAAACTGGGCAGAGCCACTTGGAGAAATGAAGGCACGTAATGTCGTGCTGGAGCTCTGCTGATGTCTTCTTAAGACATAATGCTTTTCACGCTTTTTAAGATCTGAGCAAAGAAGACAGGTGTGGTAATGCTAATGGAATTAGGAAGAGTGACTGGGGGCGTGGATGTGTGGGGGCGATCTTGAGATATAAGTGGAGCATTCTTGACATGGTGGTGGGTATAATGAAACAGCCCTGCAAGTATACACCAATAATATTAATACTATTGGTTTGACCTGGGGGCTTCTTCTGGCTTGGTTTCAGGAATTGCTCCCAGAGGTGCTTGGGGGACCACGTGGTCCTGGGGACATAATCCAGATCTCCTGCAAAGCATATGCTCTGCCTCCTGGACTATCTCTTAGGCCCTCACTACTACTGCACACTGATACCTCAATAAAAATCTGGTTGGGGATGGGAGAGATTGAACAGTGGGTTGGGCATTTGCCTTACATGCAGCCGACCCAGGTTCGATTCCCAGCATCCCATGTGGTCCCTCTAGCACCGTCAGAAGTAATTCTTGAGTGCAGAGCCAGGAAACCTCTGAGCATCACTGGGTGTGGTCCAAAAACAAAAAGAAAAAGAAACTGATGCAGGGAGGCAGAGAAACAGTACAGCATGTAAGGCACTTGCCTTGCATGTGGCTGACTTGGTTTGATTCCCAGCATCCCATATGGTTCCCTGAGCACGTCAGAAGTGATTGAGTGCAGAGCCAGGAGCCTTAGTGCAGAGTCTTAGCATTGTGATGTCTGCACCCCCACCAGAAAATAGTGGGTCTGATCTAATAGTCTGGGATGAAAATGAAGAGAATAGGACATCTTTTTTTTAGCTAAAAATTATAAATGACCATGGGGGGTGGGAGGGATACTGGGATCCGTGGTGGTGGGAAATGGGTACTGGTGGAGGGATGGGTAGTTGATCACTGTATAATTGAAACCCAAGCACAAAAATGTGTAAGTCTGCAACTGTATCTCATGATGTTCTCGCTATTAAAAATCTTTTTAATAAAAAAAATTATAAATGACCTGGATATGTCCATCAAAAGTATAATGGATGAATGAATTATTATATACTCATAAGATATTAGCATAAACAAATATCACAAAATTGTATATTGACCCTTAAACAACATAAAAGTTAGGGGTCGGCCCCCATGAAGTAAAATTTTTCAACAACATCTGACTCCCACCAAACTAAACCACAGTTAGCCCTTGGGGGATTGAAGGGGGATTGTTTCAGAACTCTTTCAGATATGCTCAAGTTCAATAGCTGGGTGTGACATCCTGGGATTCAACCAGCTGACAGACATGGTTGCTTGAATCCACGAATGCTGAATCTGCAGACGTGGCGGGCATAAGTTGTATGAGTGGACCTGCACCGTCCAAACCTGTGTTACTTAAGGGTCCAATGAGGTAGATCTAGGGATAATGACATGAGAAGATCCCCAGGATCTATTGTCAAATGGAAGGGGAGGGGAAAAACCCTACTGTGTGAATACAGAGCAAAACATCTGCAAGGACCTATACCACACAGCCATATGCTAGACATGTGGGATGCAAGGCAAGGAGGCTGGGGCAGGAGAGAGACTCACGACACCACAGAGTCATCACTGAATTGATTTTATTTTAAAGTCATCTATGTAAATCAAGTAAATACACACTGGGGTTTGTGCAGTTTGGTTTGTCTTCCACGCTGGCATGCAACATTTTGGCAGATGTGAGTGGACAGGCCAGGGGCTTGTGGGGACCCTGGCTCTCTGAAAGGAATGTGGTAAGGGTGGCGGAGTGGAAGAGGAGGATGTGGGGTGAACCTGGTGAAGGCTTTATGTGTGTGTATGTGTCTGGGTTTCTTATTTCTGTAAGTGGATATACCCTTACATCTTACAAAAGAGAAGGCAGCCCACTCTCACCTTTCCCTCAGCTGCCCAACACCTTCACTTTTTCTGATGTGTTTGAAAAGAACCATCTGGTGGCAAGATTCCATAAAGCCCAATGGAGTATGGCGCCCCCTCCTGGCACACACCAGCAAAGACTCCCCGGATTTCCTCTAGCACGGGGTCTGGAGACAGTGTGTGAGCTCATCCGCCCCATCCCTGCTCCCTTTGCTGAATGGCGAGGGGAGCCAGATGGGACCCCCTTCCTCAGAGCAGTGGCTTCCACACTGCCAGAACTGGCTGGGTCTCTGGGGACCACGAACAAAGCCGCCAAGTGAAAAACGTTAAGTGCCCAGTTTGGCATCATTTTAGGTAGTTTATATTGAAGTTTTAGATTTGTTTTTTGGGGAAAAAATGATTTAAATGACTATTTTTTGAAAAAGTGTTACCACCTTGCTAAAAAGGACCCAACACATAAAGAAAGGAGGGTTGTTTTTTTCCTTGCAGAATCATGGACCAATACCGCCTCTATTTACCAGTGGGCGCTGAGTTTTCTCACACTGAGTTTTCTTTCCTGGTTTAGCAGTTGGGTGATGGGCTGCTCTGCATCCCATTCTCCATTCCTAGATCAAACTGGGTATCTGCACATCAGGTTTTCTTGATTTGAACTGGCTCATGACCTCCACTCTCATCCTTGCAGTTACCTAGAAAACCACCTTAGCACCATGTGGAAGGAAAGAACTGGGAAACCAAACCAATAGTCCTGTCAACTGCATGGGGAGGCACTGGGGGAGAGCCCCCGGGCTCTTCCACCTCCAGAAAATCCATCTTGTCCATTTATTTAAAGTGCACTTAATACCAAATGGGGACATTATAGAAGGAACTCTGTGTAAAAAAAAATTTTTTTTGTTAATATATACTGGGTAAAAACCAGGCTCCAGCTTGAAAGGAAGGTATATCAAGATAGATATTTTGCCAATGAACTGGAAGCCCCCCGATGGGAAGAATGTCCAGCCCAATATGGGACAGATAGGAATCCAGCTCATCTCGGTGGCAAAAAATATTTAGGAATTTCTAAGCCTATGTCCTTCCCCCAACTCAAGGAAGCAATGATCTTGACTCTGCCATGGACAGACAAACAGTCATTTGACCAACTCTTGAGAAAGGTCTGTCTCAAATTTCAATGAACTTTTTTGGTTTATTTTGTTTTGGGGCCACACCTGGCAATATTCAGGACTTACTCCTGCCTGGCTCTGTACTCAGGGGTCACGCCTGGTGAGGCTCAGGGGACTCTGTTGGGTGCTGGGGATTAAACCTGGATCGGCCACATGCAAGGCAAGCACCCGATTTGCTAGACTATCTCTGGCCCCTTTGATGTTTTCTTTAACAACTGCAGTCTGCTTATGAACTCATGTAGAGAATATCAAAAGGAGTTTTTAGGGGAAAGGAAAGTGGTCCCTTGGGAATAGGGATCAAGAAGTCCTTTGACAAGATCCCATCTTCTTGTTCATCTAGGGGAGAACAGGAGTAGGGAGGCCAAAAACAGACTTGAGAGGACACGTGTACACCCAGAATCCCTCAGTTCAGGTGAGAGGTGGATGAAGCAAATTCTGCATCAACTGTGGCAGTCTTTCCATTACCCTCCCCTGCACTAACTCTGCGAGGAGGCCGATGCGTGGATTTCTCTCTGGATGCTAAGACTTCTTCTGCTTAAGGCTTTGTGTGTGTGTGTGTGTGTGTGTGTGTGTGTGTGTGTGCACATGTACTTGCATGAGTGTGCGTCTGTGTGTGGAGGATCGCAGCCCTCGAACTCCCGTTTTTCCTTCCATCATCTCCATGACTAACACCAATCAGTGTGAGAGACGAGTATATGAGAGAGAAAGGAGAAACATTCCCCCTCCTCCCTACTGCCCCCGTGAGGAGGGGATACACTACGGTTAGAAATCTCTAGATACATCGTTAGATACTTAGAGTAAGACAGAGACATAGCAGCAGCTTTTGATATATAGGTACAGAGTACAAAGAGATAGAGAGTAAGAGGAGACATCAAACAGTACAGTCAAACAACAGGGGTCGGGGCGTGAGTTAGTGTCAGAGACCACAGGATTGCAGCATGCTGAGAGAAGAGGCCTCAGTCCCTCTTAGAAACTGGGGAGGAAAGAGAAAGAGCTGGTGAGGAACCACGGTGCAGCCCGGCCACTCCACTGGAGCAGGGCGGCATCTGCAGGAGCCTGGGTGTACAGCGCTGTGCATCTGGTCCCAACAGCAGATGCCGCCCTCCCACCCCAGCCTTCCCTCGTCCTTCCATTCCGGGATTCTGGCTCCTCCTAGCGCCTTTCTGACTAGCCTGGAAACCCCCAGGGACAACTTGGCTTGGCTTGCAGCCCCACGACGGACTGGCCATGCTCTCTTGTTTCGAGTTCTCCAAGGAGGCAAAGTGAACAAAAAGGCAAGATCCTGGTTCCCAGTTTCAAGGGTAAGGAGGAGCCGGGTGAAACCTAAGAACTCGGAAGGGGCCTGAGCTACTGTGGGAAAGGCCTTGCAGAGCCGAGAGGGGCTCTGGTTTGCGCCTCCACCGAGATGAGGAGGAGGGGGAGAGCTGACCCTGCAGCTCGGAGGTACCATGAGGCATTTTGTAAAGCTTGTTGGCGACACAGGCACCGGAGTATAGGCTAGGCTCAGGAATTAATCTGGAACCGCTTTAGTTCAGGAAACAGAATCCTCAGAAATTATTTTATGGGACCCTAAAATTGGGAAAGGGTGCGTTGTGATGAGCCCCCAAGGTCCCCTTAAATGTTCTGGGGTGGCACAGGACTTTCAAAGCAACCCAGCCCTTGATTCGTTTGACATGTGACAGTGACCCCTAGTGGCAGAACCAGGAGTGGTTGCCAGCGAAAGCGTCTAAGCAGGCAGGAGAAATGGTCCAGAAGACATTTGGCAGCAGCGGGAGAGAAAGGAGGAGTCAAGGGAAAACTATGCCGCAGTTTTGAGCTGAACCCCAGAGTTGCAGAGACCAAGAGGAGACAGCCCGAGGCCCGTGGGAGGGAGCAGCCCGAAGCTACCTGAAAGTGCAGGTACGCAGCAGTCCCCTGGGAGATTAGCTGGCTGCGGTCTCTTGATGGAGAGGGAAAAGCTTGGCCTGGTCCTCAGCCTCATAGCCGCATGGCAGGTCGCTCCTGGAAGGGACCGTCACAGTCACAGCAGTCAGCTCAGTAGAAACGAAAGCGTTAGCTCCCCCAGTATTCCCAAGAGCTTGCGAAGGGCAGGGGCTATCCATGTTTCACAGGAATGCAGGGGGAAATGGAGGCGAGAGCCTCTTAGCTGCTTGTCCAAGGTCACAAAGTTCCCAACGGTGGGAGAGAAACTGGGTGATCTGCTATCGATGGCCATGATTCCGTCCCATCCCCATGGCTGGAATGGGGAGGGGCTGCAGATGGGATTAGAAGTGGGGACCATGTTCTCCAAACACAGCGAAAGCAAGACTGCTTTCCATTTTCTCCTCCTTCCCCTGCAAGCACTAGGGAACCCCCTTAATTAGGACGTGAGGAAAACGCTGTGATTTCTTCAGATACCCCGCTCCCACACACACACCCGAGAGCAGAGAACACTGGTGTACCTATTGTCATTGATATCCGTGGCGTTTCCTGAGGACAGCATCATTGGGAAGACAGGATAGAAAGAAAGAAAGAAAGAAAGAAAGAGAGAGAGAGAAAGTTGGACATCAGAAAGTTTCCTACAACCCTCTCCCATCCTCAACCCTCAGGAAAACGTAAGACTCTTGAAGGCACAACTGCAATCCATCTTCAACACCCCCAAACTGCATCATGATTCTGCTTGAGAATAAGTCTCCCTGACCCCTCACAAAGGAGAGAGAGGGGAAAGAAAGGTAAGGGGGGTCTAAGGGGCACAATCAGGGCAAGAACCCACTCAGATGCCCAGACCCTGACATGGGTGGGGGTCAAGCTTCCATCACAAGGTTGCTTACTTCTCTTACGTTTTTCAGTTTGCCCGAGGGTCCCAAAGCTGGATCCCGACCTTTCTCACTCACCGTTGTCCGTATTGGCCTTCTGGTAGGAAGTCCAGGGGCCGCCAGAGGATGTGGCGCCCCCGCTGGTGCAGGAGTCTGCAAAGCTGGACAGAACAAAGGAAAGGGGCGGCCTCTGATGCCCACCAGCAAATCCCTCTCCAGCACCCGGCAAATAGAGGACAACACACATAGCCACAGACTGGGAGGGCGATATCCGCCTTCCAACCCAGAAGGTAGCGTGAGGGTGAGCAAAGGCTCCAGTGAAGCAACCGAGGAAAGGCGCTCTGTCCACACCAGAACCAGTCTCACGCTGAACGGACCAGGAGCCCAGTGCCTTCCCGTTCCAGCCTCCCCCTTGCCCCCCGCCACCCTGTCACTCACTACACATCTGAGGTGGTGCTAGGTGCAGCCTGCAGGTATAAGTTCTGGTAATTCTGGAAGAGGTTGTTGGTGTAACTGATACATTCGGGGCTCCGGGTGCTATAGGGGTTGGTCGGTGAGGACGCTGGGTAGTGCCCAGGCCGGACAGGTTTGGCTGCAGTAAAAAGAAAACGAAGGGGCTGGAACGACAGCACAGCGGGCAGGGTGTGTTCGATCCCCAGCATCCCATATGGTCCCCCGAGCACCGCCAGGAGTAATTCCTGAGTGCATGAGCCAGGAATAACACCTGTGCAACGCTGGGTGTGACCAAAAAAGAAAAAAAAAGAAAAGGAAAAGGAAAATGACCTTGAGGAGGTAGCTGGTTCCTGAGTTTTTCAACAGGGGCAGAAATGAACGGTTTATAAGATAATTCACTTTGATAACTTTTTTCAGGGAAGGGGAGATGGGACAGCATCGGAAGGGCAGGAAGCAGTAGCCTCGCTCTCTGGCTCTGTGAAGAGTGTTGAATTTCCCCTGGTGGCGAGGCCCCCGGCCCGCTGACCCGTGCTCCCCACTCACCGATCTGGGCTGAGTGGCCCCGCTTGCCCGAGCTCTTGTAGCGCACGGCTTCCTTGATGCGGTCTACCTCCTGCTGGTAGCGGCGCTTGTCCTTCATGGCGCCCTCCTTGGCCTCCTTCAGTGCACCCTCCAGGGCCTTAACTCTCTCAGCCGTAGCCCTAAGTCGTTTTTCCAGTTTAGGAAGCTCACAACGCAGATCTGCATTGTCACGTACCAGCTGTGGACGGTGCAGTGACCCCAGAGAGCGGTGGGTACGGAGGGGGCAGGGTGGGGAGAGAGAACATGGGGACATCAAATCAGAGAGGATGAAGGTCGCGGTGCCCTCTTGAGAGGACTCGCGCCTTGGACGGCACTACGGCTCTGTTTTAGCCCGTCTTCCCCTTTGCCCTCAGCCAATGGAGATCAGGCATTAAAAGGTCACATCTTTCTGAGGAGCAAAAGGCGCCAACCTTGCTGTGGCCCAGAGGTCCTGGTCTCAGACTGGCCTCAAACCCACCCTGCCCATAACCCCGCCCCCACCCCCCCTACACACACTGTCACAGCTCCTGCCAGACCAAAAGCCCCACGGCAACCATGGGGATGAGGCACCTCGTCACCCAGAGATGGTTTTGTGGCATGCAAAGGCAGGGGGGTAGGCAGCAGGAACACAGGCGCGGTCCAGAGGGTGGAAGATGGCGCTGAACGCTGGTGCAGGGCAATGCAGAGCAGGAGCAGAAGCTACAAAGTCCCCATGCCCGCACCCCCACATGCCCGCAGCGCCCCGCAGGAAGGAGAGAAAATGTTTGAGGTCTCACAAACATTTGTGCTCGCCCGCTCCCGTTTCAGTTCAGTGGGAGCAGGGAGCCCCCTCCATGGTCTGGACACCCCCCACGGGCTCTTTGCAGGGTGCCACCCAGTGCGCAAGGAGCCGCTCTCAGGAGAGCTGGGGAAGCAGCAAGGGTCCTTGGGGGAGCAGTGGCGCGGCACTCGCTGCCATGCCCCACGAATTCTGGACCATTTGGAGATCCCAAGCAGCGTTTTGCCGTGACGGCAGCTATGCTTCATTTGGCTCCTCTGGTTCTGCTTGCGGGGCCCAGGGGTGAAATCCAGGACCCTGTTGCTGCAACGAGGGTGCCAGATGGCTGAGCTGCAGGCGCTGCCCAGACTTAATGTGGAACGGGAAGACGGCCCTGGCAGTTGAAGATTCTGTGGCTGGGGAAGCCTCTGTCTCCCTCTTGTTTATCTTTCTAGGCTTGTGTTGATCAAGGAAAGGAATTATGAGTCTCTCTCCCGCAGCTGAGGCGTTTGGGGGACTGAACTACTGGAGCAGAAGCTGCCGCTCCAGCGAGGGGGAAAAAAACGGTTTGTGCTTCCCTGATGTGAGCCGCAAGGGCGGTGAGCCTGCAGGACGAGTTCGGTGAAATAAATCACCGAAGGACAAATACTGTGACTGCATCTATGTGAGGCATTTAAAGGACTCAAAATCAAAGACAGAGAGTGGAATGGTGGTTGCCAGGAGATTGGAAGGAAGAGGGAGTGAGCAGTTAGAGTTTAACGGGTATCCCTAGAGCTCCATGTTTACAAGAATGGCGGGGATAGAGGGTCGTGATATTACCCAACACTGTGGGTTCAATACCACTCAACCCTGCACTTAGAACTGACGAGGGTGACACACTTCCCACAACCAAACAATCGGAGGTGGGGGCAGGGGAGCCATCCAATATGCTTTTGGAAACAGAAAAGAAATGATTACAAGGAAATGAAGAAAAGCAAAACCAAGTCCAGTGTTTTCTTCCCTGTGCTTCAACTTTCCTGAATTACACTGTTTTAGAATAAGCGAAGAGTGGAAGGTGGTGGTGAAGCCAAAGGAAAGAAATGAACTCTATGGACCAGCTCTGTAATGAAAAAGTGTGTATGTTCTCTGGTCTCCTTCATTATTCACGATAGCAAACACTGGGGGCGCCTGACTATTTCATGTGTACGTGGGCCCACGCTGGGAGAAAAGGAATTGCGGCTGAGGCATTTTGAAAGTGGATCTGGAAGGCTGGGGATGAGGGGTAGGTGAGAGTTATTTATTTATTTATTTATTTATTTAGCTTTCTGGGTCACACCCAGCAATGGTTACTCCTCGCTCTGCACTCGGGAATTACTCCTGGAGGTGCTCGGGGGAACATATGGGATGCTGGGAATCGAACCTGGGTCGGCTGCGTGCAAGGCAAACACCCTACCCACTGTGCTATCGCTCCAGCCCCGTTTAGAGTTTATTTTCTGAATCATTTCAGAGGGCTTGCTGACAGACCACTGCACCTGTCTTCAAGGCGCAGAGATCTGGCGCTAATGAGGTGCTCCCACTCTGTGTGCACCAAACATTTCCTGTCCCGACTCCTGGGACTGCCCCTCTTGCCTCCCCACCCCATACCTTTGAAACCCAGTCATCCACCTAAGCGGCCACAGCAGCAATGGGACAGAGAGGCAGCAACTTAATACACAGGAGACTGAAATGACGCCACCCGGGGACTGGTGGCCCACCTGCAGGACACCCCTTCATTTCTCTGCACACGGCCCCAGGCCTAAGCAGATGGGTTTCTCTCAATGAGAGAAAGCCCAGCTCCTCCACCTCTGCGGGACCCAGTGCCTTCTCCCTCTGCCTAAGGCCTGGCCAGTACCCGGTGTGTGGTTACAGCCGCAGGCCTCTGCAGCCTCATTCCGCACACACTGCCCCCACCAACCACGGGCCTGGGGAGGTCCACTCTGAGCAGAGGCACGTTGGGAGACTCAAGAAGGGAAAACGGTTATGGACCAAAATACAAACGGAAAACGGAACCAAATATGGTGCAGAGAAAGGCTCTGTAGGGAAAATCAAAGGGAAAAATAAGGAAAAGCAAGTGGATTTTCCCAAATCCAAGGGCCTCTGAGGGTCCGGTGTCCTGGCACCTGGCTTCAGTTCTCTTTCCCTTCCCATGGACTCTGACCTGTTTGTGAACCTTTGTAAGTTGTTCCAGGTTGTTCTCAAGAAAGGAAATCTTCTGCTTTTGGGAGTGAATCCCCCCACTGTCCTCGGGCTCCATTTCTGCACTCTGGTGGGGAAACGAAGAGAAAGATGTGGCCAGTGCAAGGCCCGATACCTAACCGGTCCCCCCAAGACCAGGTCAAGCCACCCCTGTGGGAGAAACCCGAGGTGGGAAAGAATAGGAGCTCTGGGAAGACCCCGAGGGTGGCGCCTACTTTCTTGACTCGAGTCGTGACGTCTTGAACGAACAGCTTGCGAAGGTTGTGGAGGGTCTGGAGTTCCCGGGCCTGGAAAGCATGATATTGACATGAGGGGTCGCCAAACACAAGTCAGTCTCTTCCCTCCAGGCTGGGGCTGTGATTCTGTGATAAAATGCACACCTTGCACGCACAAGGTCTGGGTTTGATGCCCCCTTCCCCCTCACACACACACTGAGAAATAAATTAATTACAGGAATCTTCCATCTGTCTTGTCAGGACTAAACAGGACAGAGTGTGCATGTCCTAAATATGCCTCAGACTAACTTGACAGAAGGGCAAGAGGAATGGGGGAGAAATCGGGGGCAGCGATGAAGCGACGAAGCGTTCCCCAGCCCCGTCAGCCCGACCCAGAAGGGAGCCACTCACAACTGTCTCCTCCAGCCCTTTGAGGTCCTGCTTGGACTGCTCATGTCGCTCGTACAGAAATCTGGAGGAGGACGGAAGAGAAGAATCCTTCAGGAACTCTCCTTCCTCCCACCTGCGTCCCTCTCCCACTCCTTTCACCTAGAGTTTAGTAATTTTCATACAGTTTCCTCATGTACATTAGGCAAACATCAGAGAAGAAACTAAAGTGGAGTTCGTGCCCAATTCAATCAGCCTGATCAATGGCTGAATGAATAGCAATACTCCTACACTAAAATAAAAAAACACAACTAAAAAGATCAGCAAGATTAGTTTCATAAAAGGCTCACCATTCTTTTAAAAAAAATGTATGGGGCCCACCATTCTACCACTTTACACCATGAAACCAAAATTATACAGGTGACAATCTTTCCAACCTTTTATTAGAGGAGGGAAGGGGGTAGCAGGTAGACCTGGTGGTGCAAAGGGACCATTCCCGGCTCTGGGCTTATGAGTGGTCCCTGGTGGTACTCAGAGGACCAGGGAGCTATGTGCAGTGAGTGAATCAAGGCCGGGCTAAAGCAGCCTCACTCCTGTATTATCTCTCTGGCCCCAACGACTCTTTGGTTCAATCCATATATATTCCACCCAAGTTTGATGGGATCAGACCATTCACTTTGTTTCAGAGCCTACTTTTATTTATTGTAGTGTGGGGGGTATTCCTAGCTCTGTTCCTGATGGTGCTCCAGGGACCAGATAGCCGAGAAGAGCTGGTGGGAGCAAGGCAAAGGCCTTAACTCCTGTACGCCCTCGCCGCCCCCGGAGCCTGCTGTGTACTGAACAGACCATCACAAACCTGTTTCCTGTGGGTTGATACACAGAGGTCCTTTCTGAAAGGGTTTCTTTTCCCTTGCCCACACAAATTATTTAGGCGGTCTCTTTGCTTCCCTGGGCAAACAACCACACCTCCCCCGGGGCCTGCCTCTGCAGGGCTGTCCGAAGAGCGGTCTGAGCCAACACGGCCACCGCTTGTCACTCACGTCAGCTCCTGCAGCTTGCTGCTCTTCTCGTGCTCTTCGTTCTTCAGCTTCTCATAGTCTGCCTGAAGCTTCTCGAGCTCTAACTGGAGCTTCTGATTCAGGCTGCGAGGACAAGGAGGGATTGGGGAGATCGAAAAGATACTCATGTGGGGGGGAAAGGAAACGGGAGCTCTTCAAACATTTTTCCTCCTGTATAGGTGAGTCCAGTTTAGGATGGATGCACCCACCCGCAGCTGTCTGAGGTGGACTCGGCCACAGTTTTCATAGCAGAGCAACTCTAAGCGAGTCCCTAAAACTCTAGTCATGAGCGCCTCCAGGACAGAGGCTAGTCCTTACACCTCCTGAGGTGGGGCTGCATAATGGTGCCATCAAGGGAAAGGCACGTGGAAGTTAAAGGTAAGATTATGGTCCAAATGTATCTCGAGGGTGCAAAAAAGCACAGTAGAAATGACATCTGCACCTATATGTTCATTGCAGCACTGTCCACAATAGCCAAACTCTGGAAACAACCTGAGTGCCCAAGAACAGATGACTGGTGAAAGAAACTTTGGTGGGAGCTGGAGCAATAGCACAGCATGTGGGGCATTTGCCTTGCATGCGGCCAACCTGGGTTCGATTCCCAGCATCCCATATGGTTCCCCGAGCACCGCCAGGAGGAATTCCTGAATGCAGAGCCAGGAGTCACCCCTGAGCATTGCCGGGTGTGACCCAAAAAGCAAAAAAAAAAAAGAAAGAAAAGAAACTTTGGTACATCTACACAATGGAATACTATGCAGCTGTTAGGAGAGATGAAGTCATGAAATTTGCTTCTAAATGGATGCTCATGGAGAGTATCATGATAAGTGAAATGAGTCAGAAAGAGAGGGACAGATATAGAAGGACTGCACTCATCTGTGGAGTATAAAATAACATGACATGAGACTGACACCCAAGGACAGTAGACACAAGGGCCAGGAATATTGCTCCATAGTTGGAAGCCTGCCTCATGGTAGGGGGATGGGGGTGGGGTGGAGAAGGCAGCTGGAATAGAGAAGGGATCACTAAGAAAATGATGATTGGAAGTATCGATCAGGATGGGAGATGTGTGCTGAAAGTAGATAAAGGACTGAACATGATAACCTCTCAATATCTGTACTGCAACCCATAATGCCCAAAAGTAGAGAGAGAGTATAGGGAATATTGTCTGCCATGGAGGCAGGGGGAGAGTGGGAAAGTGGGGCTATACTGGGGATATTGGAGGTGGGGAATGTGCACTGGTACAGGGATGGGTGTTTGATCATTGTGTGATTGTAACCCAAATATGAAAGCTTGTAACTGTATCTCATGGTGATTCAATTTAAAAAAAAAGATTCTGGTCCAAGCGGGAACAGAACACAGCAGTGGGCAGAGCCTGGTGAGGGAAGCCTGGGTCCTGGCGTGGCCTTGGCGGATACTTACTCTTTGAGCTCATCAATAATCTTCTGCTTCTCATTGATCTCATCTCGGAGCCGGGCCAGCTGCCGGTGATGGGCCTCCCGGTGACTCTCCATCTGCAGTTCCAGAGCCTTCTGCAAACAACCCCAATCCAAGTTCAAAGTGGGGCTCAATGAGAGCCAACACGGCCCTGCCAGATCCATTTCCCACCACTACGAACCCACCAACCTTCACTTCATCTGCGTCCTGGGTGTCTGGCTCCTTGTCCTTCAGGGCCACTTCATGCACAGTTTCTGAGGGACGGAGGGGGACACAGATTTACATGGCACTGACTGCAGCAAGAACTTCACATTGTAACCAGAGCTCCAGGCATGCAGGGCACAATTACCTGGAATAATCCCCCCAGGGGTATTCTCCTGGGTTAAGAGAGAGCAATTCATTTTTTGGTGTGATTTGTTTTTGATTTTTAATTTACTGAATTATCTCGCCCGCATGGCAGAGCCTGGCAAGCTACCCGTGGCGTATTCGATATGCCAAACACAGTAACAAGTCTCATGATGGCGACGTTACTGGGCCCGCTCGAGCAAATCGATGAACAACGAGAGGACCGTGACCGTGACCGTGAGATACATAAATAGTGACAAAGTTGCTTATGATTGGGTTGAAGCCATAAAACATAACCAGTTTAAGCCAACATTAGTTCCTCCACTAGTGTATATTTCCCACCAACAATGTCTGTGGTCTCTCCCCCACCCTCCCCCACTTCTTCTTTCCTTTTCTGAAAGTTATCATTGTATATCGCAAGCTCCCCGTGACGTATTCGATATGCCAAACACAGTAACAACAAAGTCTCCAATGGAGACATTACTGGGCCCGCTCGAGCAAAACGATGAACAACGGGAGGACAGTGACAGTGACTCAGTGACTCATGTAAGCACTCAATTCTTGTCCGGAGTGATTATTTTCAACTATCATTGTCATAGTGATTCCTTCTCTATCCTAACTGCAACCCCACCACCCACCACCTACTTGTGCCACGCTTCCAACCATGGACAAGTCCTCCTGGCCATGCTACCTTTTTTTTTTATATCCCACAAATGAGTGCAATCTTTCTCTCTCTGTCCCTCTCCCTGAATCATTCCACTCAGCATGATACTCTCCATGTCAGGATAGGTCAATTTAATGTAGCAGGGACAGAGAACCACATAAGACTTATGGTCCATATAATTGAAGTGACATACAGGACCATGCTAAACAATGCATGAGCTGGACCCCAAGATTTCAATCCTCCCAATGCTTTGGCGGGTGGTTTTGGGTGGTTTCTTTGGATGTTAGTAGCTTTCCCTCCCTGCTCCCTCAGGAGCTTGGAGTCCAGGATGGGTGGACAAAGTTGAAGAAGGTCTCTGGGACCAGAAAGATAGTATAGTGGGTAGGGCGCATGCCTTGCTGACCCCGTTTCTATCCCCAGCTCTCCATACCTGAGTTCTCTGAGCCCGCCAGGGGTGCTCCTTGTGTGCAGAGCCAGGAGCAAGCACTGATCACTGCCGGGGTGGCCCCCAAACCAAACCTATACATAAAAGTTTAAGAGGTCTCACCCTGGGCCTGGAGCTTGGCAAGCTCATCACTCAGGGAGTCGTAGGACTCTTCCAGGTGCCGCTTCTTTAGCTCCACGCTCTGCATGTACTCCGTGAGCGAGCGGATCTTGGCCTCGTGCTGAAAAGGGTTGGTGACAGGAAGCAGCAAACAGACAAAAGACACATCTCTGAGCAACCACATGCTCCAGAAACCCCAGCTCTCCTTCGGTCCGCGCCTTCCTTTAGAGCCACAGAGGGTTGGCGTCCCCTTGAGCCTTCATTTCTCTGACCTTGACCCCTGTATCTCCTCCCCGCAACACACACACACACACACACACACACACACACACACACACACAAACACTCTCTCTCTACTGCCCTGAGCTCTTCTCTCCTAGATTTTAGTTCATTCAGCCACAAGCCCAAACATAACTGTGGGTATCGGGCATTCTCTCTGCCAACCACTGTCACCTTCCTCTGACCTGGCTTGTACCTCTGGCACTCACCTGGGAGATGAGGAGCTGGCAGGATGACAGCTCCCGGCCAGTCACTTCCATCTTGCGGTGACATTCCACCTGGAGGTTCTCCAGCTGCCGGCACCGCTTCACCACAGACTTGACTTCTGATTTGATTTTGCTGATGTAGAGTCGAGCCACCGTGAACTCCTCCTCGATGGCCCCACTGATCTCCACCGGCTGCGGGGCGGACAGGGAGAGGGAGAGGAGCTCTTCTGCTTGAGTCCCTCCCCTTCCACCATTTCTCACCCCCCATGCCCCCACCACGCAGGGAAACAGGAGGATGTCCTCGAGCCACCTAATGGTTCACCACCTAGTTCTCAGCACCTCTGCCACACTCCTCTACCTGCGCTTGAAGATTTAATTCCTACAGACACACTCTTCCATCAAAGAAACAACAGGGTTTCCTTTCATCAGGTCACAAGTCTGCTCACAGACAGGTCCTTATCCCTAACCTGTGCCCTATGATAAGTCCGCCCTCCCTCCCTTCCTTCCTGTGGAATGAGGACTTGAGTCACACCTGGCTATGCTCAGGGCTAACTCCTGTCTCTGTGCTTAGGGGTCACTCCTGGCAGAGCTGGGGGACCACATGCAGTACAGGGTGGAACCAGGGTCACAGCAGCAGCGGACCCCGGTATTATCTCTCTCTTTTTTTTTCTTTTTGGGTCGCAGCCAGTGATGCACAGGGTTTACTCCTGGCTCTGCACTCAGGAATTACTCCTGGTAGTGCTCGAGGGACCATATGGGATGCTGGGAATTGAACCCGGGTCAGCTGAGTGCAAGGCAAATGCCCTACCCACTGTGCTATCACTACAGCCCCCGGTATTACCTCCCTGACCCGTCCACTGCCACTTTCCCCAGCACCCTTTCACTGTGTCTTTGCAGATGAGTTTATGCAAACCCATTTTTTCTCGGTTGACTTTGATGGTGTGTCTCCTGGATTTTTTTTTCACTTTTTAAATTTTGTTTTGTTTGGGGTCACATCCTGTAGTTCTCAGGGGTTACCCCTGGCTCTGCACTCAGGAATCACTTCTGGTGGTGTCTGGGGGACATATGGGGTGGCAGGGATCAGATCTGGGGAGTCAGCTGAATGCAATGCAAGTGCCCTACCTGCTCTACTATATCTCTGACCCCTGGATCTTTGACTGGCCTTTCTCAGTGCCCCTGAGGACCTGACTAACCCACCTGAACCTCCATTACCCCACCCCAGGGCCCAGAATAAGAGGGAACAGAGTAAGTGGGCCACTTCTTTCTCCACTCACCAGCTTTATCTCCCCGTTGCCCACGATGACGCTGAACTCGCTCAGGTCTTTCATCAGCCCGTTCAGCACCTCAGCGATTCGTTTTCGCTGGTGTCCGCTGACCTCCTGCAGCCGCTGCAACTCGGACTCCAGAGACAGCATGGAAGCCTGGGGATGGCCCCTTGGGTCAGCCCACAGCCATGTCCCCCTCGCCCCCCAGATGGACCAAGGCCTCTCCCTTCAGGCACGACCTGAGGGCTACGAGGAGACCAGAGCCCTTCAGAAGGCTCTGGAAGAGAGAGGGTAAGGAGGGCAGGGGCAGGAGCGACCAGGTGAGGGCGCTGCAGAAGGGCGCAGGCAACAGCTGGCTCCCAGGGTGCCCGGGCACTCACCACCTTCTGGGACAGCTCGTCCACCAGCAGCTGGTTCTGCTGGCTCTTCTCCTCCACCTCCTGAGACTTCTGGTCATAGTTGACCGCCAGCTCCTCCAGGGCCTGCAGGACTTCCTTCACCTCGTCTTTGGCAGCATCGTTCTCTGACTGTAAGTGGCTCAGTTCCCTCTGGACCTTCTCATTGTCCCCTCGGGTGGACACCAGCAGCTTTGGGGAGAGGAGAGGCAGGTGAGGAAGTGTGCTGCCACTGACCCCTCGCCCAGGCTTTCTGCTAGGAGAGGAGCCAAAGCAAGAGTCAAGAGGAAGTGGGGGGGGGGCTGGAGTGATAGCACAGCGGGTAGGGCATTTGCCTTGCATGCGGCCGACCCAGGTTCAATTTCCAGCATCCCATATGGTCCCCCGAGCACCACCAGGAGTAATTCCTGAGAGCATGAGCCAGGAGTAACCCCTGTACGTCGCCGGGTGTGACCCAAAAAGAGAAAAAAAAAAAAGAGGAAGTGGGCTTGAGGCTCCAGAGAAATACGGTAACAGGATCAAGAAGCACCTGGACCCACGTCCCACCCCCGCCGCCAGTTAAGCTCATCTACCAGCCCTATTCCGGAGACTCATAATTAAATCTTGAAAGAAGTGAACTAGTCGGAAAAGTTTCTCAGATACCCAGTCCTGGCTGAGACCTCTGGGGCGATCTCGGCAGCGGCAGCAGGGTGGGCCAAATTTCCACCCTACCAAGGCCCCGGTAGCCACACCCACACGCAACAGCTCCCACCCATGCCTCCAGCCAGACTGCTCAGTTCAATAAACTCTACAGCATGGCATCCCAGTAATAGCACACCAGCCTGCACGGGATTGGAACGTAGAAGCCAACGAATCTCAACTACAAAAACATTAACACAGAAGGCTTAACTTACAGCAACAACTTAGTAAAGCCTCGGAAAAAAATGTCCCATGGTGAGATAAAACAATTTTCACAAATTTTCTTCTACTTAAGTATGTTTTGATCATTCCGCCAGTGATTTAGGGATAACAAGCAATATAAAATAAAATGACTGTGGGCCTGCTACCAGGGCAGGGCTTGAGGGGTAGTTGGGAAAATGGAGACAACGTGGAGGGAAGGTGACAAGAGGCGGTGGGATTGGTGTTGGGACACGGAATGCCTGTAACAAATGATCACAAACAACTTCATAAACTACAGTATTTAAATGAAGTGGGAGAAGGGGGGGAAATAAAGAAGTACCTAGACACCCAAATCCGTACTGTAAGCAAAGCCCCCGCTAAAGCCCCAGACAGCCACAGTGCCCCATGTGACCCAGCAGAAGGCCCCGCTGGCTGGCTAAGAGCCTTTTTCCGGCCTTTCTGCGTGAACTCCCCCCGCCCTCGCATGCCCTGCCCTCCCTCCCTTTACCTCCTCTTGATCCACCATTTGCTGCTTGAGCTTCTCTACGAGCTGGCTCTGCTGGTTGATCTCATCATCCTATTGGAGACAAGGGGAAGCGAGGGAGTGAAGGAGTGCTCCCCCTCCCAGCGGAGACAATGCGGGTGGGGGTGGGGAAGGAGCCTTATGAAGATCCAGCATTAGAAAGTTCTAACCTGAAAAAGAGGGCCTTTCTCAGCTGCTGCTTCTTTTTCCCCCACTCAGCTTCTTTCCTATATTCCTGCCTCGCTTTCTTTTCTTTTTTTTTTTTTGCTTTTTGGGTCACACCCGGTGATGCTCAGGGGTTACTCCTGGCTCATGCACTCAGGAATCACTCCTGGTGGTGCTCGGGGGGCCATATGGGATGCTGGGAATCGAACCTGTGTCGGCCATGTTGGCTGGTGCAAGGCAAATGCCCTACCCGCTGTGCTATCGCTCCAGCCCTGCCTCGCTTTCTTTGCTTTGCTTGTTTTCCCAGGGCCAGGATCCAATCCAGAGCATCACACATGAGAGGCAAGTGCTCTGCCACTGAGCTACATCCCTGGTTCCTGCCCTTGCTTATTTTATTTAATGAATTTATTTTTGGGCTGGAGCGATAGCACAGCGGCAGGGCGTTTGCCTTGCACGCAGCCAACATGGCCGACCCGAGTTCGATTCCTCTGCCCCTCTCGGAGAGCCCGGCAAGGCTACCGAGAGTATCTCGCCCGCACAGAGCCTGACAAGCTCCCCGTGACGTATTCGATATGCCAGACACAGTAACAACAAAGTCTCCAATGGAGACGTTACTGGGCCCGCTCGAGCAAATCGATGATCAACGGGAGGGCCTTTACTTTTACTTTTATTTTTTGGCTTTGGGGCCACACTCGGCGGTGTTCAGAGCTTACTCCTGGCTCTCACTCGGGGGTCACTGCCAGCGGTGCTTGGGGACCAAAAGAGGTGCCGGGGATCAAACTTCGGTCGATCATGTGCAAGGTAAGTGTCTTACCCGCTGTACTATCTCTCCACCCCCTGCTTTTAAATATCTTTCTTCCTGGAAGTTGGTATAACCTGGTCAATATTTAGAAAAGCCTCTAAATGTTCATATCCTTTAACCTAGAAATCCTACCTTGAGTTCCACACTAACCAAGTTATTCCAAAGCAAAGTCTTATGCTCAAGAGGCAAAAACAGTCAAATCAGAGTGATTTTAAACAAACTCATAACAAACGAGAAGCCCTATACGAAGTAAATGGTCAAATATGTTTTGATAAGGATCAGTTGCCACTGATCAATACCGTGGTGGAGCCAGAGCGATTGCTCAACGGGTCGAGCTCATGCTGTGCATGCAGAACCCCCATGTTTGATCCCCACCACCTCACAGTCCCCTGAGCACCACTGGGAGTGAACCCTGAGCACCAAGCCAGGACTATCCCGAGAGTGCAGGCTGTGGTCCCCCAAAAGTACTTTTCTGGGGGGCCAGGGAATGGCTTGAAGGGCTGGTACAATACATGCTCTGCATTCAAAGAGCCCTGGATTTGGTCTGAGCGCCCGGAACACCAGGAGTGACAAAAAACAAAACCACCTTCAGGATGAGTTGTTAACAAAGTAGGAAACTGCTCATTATAGGATGCCGAATGGAAAACGTCAGATGCAGAGTTACACACAGAGTCCATCTCGCATGGCACGTGAATGGAGAAGTACAAAAGGTTAATAGTGTTCTTTCTGGGAGGTCAGGGGGAGATGTGATCTTTATTCCTGCGTGCTTTTTTAGACTTACCTTCCCCATTTTCAATAAAGAGCATTCATCCCCTTTAAAATCAGAAAAAGGCTGTTTGAGCTGATTTTTTTTTTTTATTCCCTAGCTTCTCATCCCCCAGGGCTCGCAGTGTGCCCTGCCCGCCCGCCCCGCCTCACCTTGTCATCCAGCTGCTTGTAGAGGCGGCGGATCTCCTCCTCGTACTTCTGCCGCTCCTCAGGCGCGATGCGCACCACGATGGACGAGTTGTCATTCAGAGGCGTCTCCTCGCAGAGCTCGGCGCCCAAGGCAGCCCCCTCGCCGGACAGACGCTCCGTCTCAGGCACATTCTCTCCTGGACCAGATAAGGGATGTGAAGGGAAGGCCGCAGCCTCCGCCTGCTCCCCAGCCCCGCCTCACCCCTCAACATCCAGAGGCCAGGCCTCCATTCTGGACCTTTAACTTTGGGCACTTCTTCGCCCCTGATGACCGCTCTACTGTCCCCCTCCAGAAACCCAGCTGTCCTTCAAACTGCCCTGTCCTAAAGGCCTCTCAGGCAAGACTGTCTGACACTCTCTCTCTCTCTCTCTCTCTCTCTCTTTTCTTTTTTGGGTCATACCTGGATAATGCTCAGGGGTTACTTCTGGCTCTGCACACAGGAATTACTCCTGGTGGTGCTTGGGGGACCATATGGGATGCTGGGAATCGAACCTGGGTCAGCCGCGTGCAAGGCAAATGCCCTACCTGCTGTGCTATCACTCCAGCCCCTGACTTTGGGCATCCCCTTCGCCGCTGACGACCACTCTTCTGTCCCCCTCCAGAAACCCAGCTGTCCTTGGAACTGCCCTGTCCCAAAGGCCTCTCAGGCAAGACTGTCTGACTCTCTCTCTCTCTCTTTTTTTCTTTTTGGGTCATACCTGGATGATGCTCAGGGGTTACTCCTGGCTCTGCACACAGGAATTACTCCTGGTGGTGCTTGGAGGACCATATGGGATGCTGGGAATCGAACCCGGGTCAGCTGCGTGCAAGGCAAATGCCCTACCTGCTGTGCTATCACTCCAGCCCCTGGACCTTTAACTTTGGGCACCCCCTTCGCCCCTGATGACTGTTCTTCTGTCCCCCTCCAGAAACCCAGCTGTCCTTGGAACTGCCCTGTCCTAAGGGCTCCCAGGCAGGACCGTCTGGCTCTCTAACGCCTCCTGCTCGCCTCACACACCCACGCCGTCCCCTCATCCCCTCGCACCATTGCGCCAGCGGCTCAGCTCCGCCTCCAGCTTTGCAATCGTCTCCTTCTGGGCCTTCGTCTTCTCCTTCTCCTTCTCGTACTTCTTCTTCCACTGCTCAGCCGTCAGCTCCAGGTTCACAGAGGCAGTGTTCTTAATGGTCTTTGCCCTGGGCGATGAGAAGAGAACGCAGAGATGAGCCCTACACTAAGGCCTGCCTGACACAGAGTGGAGAGAGAAGCAGGGACCGGTGTGAGGGGTTCGGGCCCCTGCCACTGACCGCTGCCCAAACATCAGGGTGGACTTGGTCTCTGCATCATTGTAGCTCGATGGGGAACAGCAGATGAACATGGTAGTCCGGCAGTTTCCCCCGAGGGAGTCCTGGAGAATCCTGGTCATTTTGCTGTCACGATATGGCACGTAGCTTTTCTAAGGGAGGAAGGAGTCCCGACTTAGAAAAGTAAACACAAAAGGGCTGGAGAGATATCTCAAGTGGTCAGCACATATCTAGCATCTGGGAGGCCCTGGGTTAATTCCTTAGCACCATATGATCCCTCTGAGGACCCCCCAGGGCTGGCTCTTGGCACCCCCAAATTGAAGCATTGCCAGGAGCAGCTCCCTCAAAAGAAAAACAAAACAAAACGGGACCAATTTGGGAGATAGCTCAAAAGGCTGGAGGGCATGATTTGCATGCGGGAGGCCCACGGTAGATCCTCAGCACCTTATAGTTCTCCAGTACCACCAGGAATGCTCCCCCCTAAAAAAATAGGGGTCCACGGTGTATAGCTCAGTGGCAAAGCACCGTCCTTGCAATCATGAGACCATAAGTTCTGGGGACCCCCACCACTGTGTACAAGCACTATAAATGGAGAACTCCCCCCCCCGCCCCATCCCTCCAGCCAGTCACTCCCGTGGCAGCAGGGAAAAGAAGGGGAATACATTTAAAAAAAAATAAACAAAGGGGCCGGCAAAACAGTACATTGGGTCAGGCGCTTGATTTAATGCGGTCGATCTGGATTTGATCACGGCACCACATATGGTCTCCCAAGCCCCACCAGGAGTGATCCCTGAGCACAAAGTCAGGGAGTAAGCCCTGAGCACAACCAGGTGTGGCCAACAAAGCCAAACAGAAAAAATAAATAAATGAGATGCTGAAACTGGAAGAGTACAGAAGGTAGGGTGCTGGCCTTACATGTGGCTGATGCAGGTCCAGTCCTAGCAACCCATATGGTCACCAGGAGCAATCCCTGAGTGCAGAGCCAGAAGCACTCTGAGCAATGCTGGGCGTGGCCCCCAACAAAATCAACAAAATTTAACAGAGGAATCAAAAAGCATCATGGGGGCTGGAGAGATAGTATAGCAGGTAGGGTGCTTGCTTTGCACGCAGCCAACCCAGATTTAATCTCCAGCACCCCAAATGGTTCCCTGAACCTTACCAAGAGTGATTCTTGAGAAGAGTCAGGAGTAAGCCCCGAGCACTAGCAGGTGTGGCCCCCGAAACAAAAAAGCAGTGACTAGGGATGGAGCAACCCAAGAATCAGATATGAATCAATGAGGTACTAGGAGAAGGTGGGAGATAGGACAGAGCTGAAAGTGGGGGAGGGGGGAGAAGATCACTCACAGTGCCCTCCGCCAATGCAGAGATCACATTCCCCAGGGCAGACAGCGATTTGTTGATGTTCTTTGCTTCATCCAACACAGCTCCCTCTGCTCCAGTCTTGCTCACCTATCAGGGCATTGAAAAAGGACTGTGTTAGGCTGGAGCAATGGCATAACGTGTCGGGTGTTCAATCCTCGGCATCCCATATGATCCCCCAAGCACCACCAGGAACAATTCCTAAATGCAGTGCTGGGAGTAGCCCCTGATCATTGCTGAGCGTGGCAGAAAGAAGAAAGAAAGAAAGAAAGAAAGAAAGAAAGAAAGAAAGAAAGAAAGAAAGAAAGAAAGAAGAAGGAAGGAAGGAGAGAGAAAGAGCAAGAGGAAGGAAGGAGGGAAGGAAGTATGAAAGGAAGAAAGGTAGGAAGGAAGGAGAGAGAAAGAGGAAGGAAGGAGGGAGGGAGGGAGGGAGGGAGGGAAGGAAGGAAGGAAGGAAGGAAGGAAGGAAGGAAGGAAGGAAGGAAGGAGAAAAAAGACTGTTGGGGACAGAATGATAGTATAGTAGTTAGGAAGTTAGGGTAGTTGCCTTTCTTTCATGCAGCCAATCTGGGTTCAATCCCTGGCACCAAATATGGTCCCCTGAGCCCCACCAGGAGTGATCCCAGAGTGCAGAACAGGAATAAGCCCTGAGCACCACTGGGTGTGCCACTAGCCCCGCCCCCACCAGAGAGAGGGTGGGGGGAGAGAGGGAGAGAGAGAGACAGAGCCACAAATATCAGGGAAGGCCAACTCTTCTCCACTGAGAAGGAATCAGCCCAGGAAGGAGAGGGGTAAGGAAACAGGACAGAGAAGATCGCTCTTCTTGTCCCCTAAACTCTCTTGCCGAAGGCCAGCTCCCACTTGTACCTACAATTCCATTGCTAGGAAATGCCTAGAAACAGGCAACTTCACAGGGAGCGGAAATATCAGTGTTACAAAGGGTGGGAGAGCTTGGCAGCACGGTGAGTCACAGACGATGAGATGCTCCAGAATGAGCAGAAGTCATGGTCTTGCCAATATACTAAGGGTCACTGCGCTAAAGAAAGTCCCACACCCTGCCAGCCCCTGACCTTCTCGCTCCCTGCCAGGTCCACCAGGTACAGCTTCCCACTGAGCTTCTGCTCCGTCTCCATGTTCTCCTGCTTGATGTTGATGAGGAAGATGCTGTGGCTGCGGGAGCTGTGTTCATTCATGTCTGCGGGAAGAGGCAGAAACCGTGCACTGCAGGCCTCAGCGCCCAACCTCCACCCTGGCCACCTCCACGCCACCGGAACTCGCCCTGCCGCTCCCTCTGCCAGCAGCAGGGTGACACAGACCAGTGTCCTTCCTCCCCTGGGGTGACAATCTTCCTTGATCAGTCTCAAGTCCCTCCACCCAACAGGGTACAGCACCGAAGCTGGACCAGCCTCGACTCAATTGTGTCCCCACTTACTGGTGACAGCCACATGACGATTCGACTTCCCTTCATCAATCACATCTAAAATCTCCTCGGGGCTGGACACAAAGCGCTCAGTGCAGCCCTGCAGGGGGCGAAGGGACAGTGACCCATGGACTCTTGATCCACAGATGAAACTATTCAGTACCCTTGATCGAGCACGTTTCCAAGGCAATGTCTTTTTCCAAGGCCTGGGCGAACCTCCCCCCATCGAAGGCGCCCACCCTCTCCTCACATTCAGGATCTCAATATACTGGCTCCCCAGAGGGCCTCACTCCACACTCTTACCTTGACAAATGGCACCCGGTTCTTGTCCTCGTGCACAGACAGGTTTGTCTTGGTCACTGAATCAAGACAACAGAGACTGAGCAGAGCTAACACCTCCATTGCCAGCCCCCTGTCCCCTGCAGTGTGCTCCCCTGGTAGCGCCTTCTGTGTGCAAAGGGAGGGGATGCCCCTGTGAAGTCTCTGCCCTGGTGTGTGCCGAAGATCATTTCTCCCCCTCTATGATCCACTGCAATGCTTCTGCTTCCAGCTTGTTCCAGACCACTTCTCCATAGGTCTGGGCACCTGAGCTCATCTTTTGACCCTTCCAGTTGTTTTTGTTGGGGCTGGAGCGATAGTACAGCAAGTAGTGTGTCTGCCTTGCACGCAGCTGACCCGGGTTCAATCCCTGGCCTCCCATATGATCCCCTGAGCACCGCCAAGACTGATTCCCGAGCACAGAGCCAGGAGTAACCCCTGAGCATTGCTGCTGGGTGTGACCCAAAAAGAAAAGAAAAGAAAAGAAAACAAACAAAAAAAAAGAAACAGTTTTTTTTTAAGTAAAACAAATTTTATTTGAAGGGGTTTTGAAGGTGTGAAGGGGGAGTATGTGTGTGTGTGTGTGTGAGAGAGAGAGAGAGAGAGAGAGAAAGAAAAGAGAGAAAGAGAGAGAGAGCGCAACACTCTCAAGAGAGAACATGTGCAAGGTAGAGAACAAGGGTAGAGAGAGCCCCTACACACATCCCAGCATTAGACGTGAAAGTACGCACCTCAAGAAGGGAGATGCGGGCAACACACATGCTAGGGCAACACATGTGCTCAGCCACGTGGGCGCAAGCAGCACATGGGCTTGGGCAGCATATGCGCCCCAGTTTGTTTTTTGTCTTGGTTTTGATTCTTATATTTTGGTGTTGGAGCTACATCCAGCAGAACTCTAGGGCTATTCTTGGTCCTGTGCTAAGTGACGCCGAGCAGATCTTGGAGGGTTGTTAGTGTTGCTGCGATCTGAAGCAGGGTCAGCGCCTAATCCCAGCACTTTCCCTTTGGCCCCTGACTCTTCCACTTTTGAGAAACCCTTGGTGAGTGGAAGCGAGGGAGACAGATACGTGTGTGTGCGTGAGCTCACTACACCTCCTACCCAACAGTACCGAATCCCGAGAGCTACGTGAGATGTCTCTTCCCGGCCCCCCTCCCACGCGCCACCCCTGGCATTCATCACCACTCACCATCCAGAAGGTCACGAATTTTGTCCAGATAAATCTCAAAGTAAGAAACCTGGGTAGGAAGAGAGGAGAGATATCAAGACGGCCTCTCTGAAATCTGGTGTGGAGATCTCCAGCTAACGTGAGCCTTATGAAGCGATGGGAGTGGCAAGAAGGAGCAGGAGAGAATATCGTGAAGAATGGAGGGAACCCCCGGGCTCTCCATGGGTTCCTACCAGACGCTCCCTCCCAGCCCTTCTGGCCCCCTCCGAGAAGGCCTGGCAGTCACCCCCCGCTCACCTTGATGTGGAACTCCAGGTTCTCATCCATGGAGTAGATGTGGTTGAAGATATCGCGGGCAATTCGAGGAATGATTCCCATCAGCTGGGGGTCGTGCAGCTTGCCCTGGGGAGGGAGATTATTCCATCATGAGGCTGAATGAGACAAGTCAGAGGCATTCGGGTGGCCACAAAGGACACTGCTGAGAAGAACACTATCAGTTAGAGGACGCCACTGCTCGGACTCCCTGCGAGTGGGAGAAGGACAGAACGAGGCGGCTCTCGGGACTGTCTTGGCGGCTGTTTCCCCAAACTGAAAGAGGAAAACCGCAGTCACAGGAGGAGGGTGAAGGACAGCTGGCAGAAGGGGCGCCACTGAACTTCCACACGAATATCAGCCTGGTTAACCCTTCATCCCCTGACAAGGCCACCGTGACACAAGACCTTCCCTGAGAGTCCTAGACCTTCTCCAGCTCCTCACCACTCACAGCAGTCATAACCCTCACCTCCATGGTATGGGTTTTCCCTGAGGATGTCTGTCCATAAGCAAAAATGGTGCCATTGTAGCCAGCAAGGACATCTGAAAGAGAGCGCAGAGAAAGAGCCTGGTGAAGAGAAGTGGGAGACGACATGGTGACAGGACAGCGGGCAGGGAGCTTGCCTTATATCCCTCCAACGCTGGTTCAAATCCCCGGTACCACAGATGGTGTCCCTGAGCACCACCAGGAATGATGGCTGGGCTCAGAGCCAGGAAAAGCCCCCTGACCACTGCTGGGCGTGGTCCCAAAGTCCAAAAATTACATCCAGGGTCAGAGAAAGAGTACAGAGGGTAAGGACTGGCCTATGTGCAGCAAAACCCGGTTTAATTCGTGGTACCGCATGAGGTCCCCAAGCCCAGCCAGGACCGAAACCTGAGCGCAGACCCAGGGGTAAGCACTGAGCACTGCAGGGTATGGCCCAAACATCCCCACTAATAACAGACATACATACTGAGGGCCAGAGAGGTAGTTCAGGTGGTCGAGTCCAAGCCAAGCAATATGTGAGGCCCTGAGTTTGGTCCCTGTCACTGCACAGCTCCCCAGACCACTGGCCAGGGCCCTGAAGGCTTCTGAGCATCACAGTACCCCAATACCCTTTGCCCCCAGCACCACTATAAAAAATAAAATAATAAAGTAATAAATAATATATCCATATTATAAAAAGTATTCATCTGGGGTATACTTCAAAGGCAGAGCACACACCCCACAGATATCTGGGTTTAATCCCCAGCATTGCCAAGATATTTTCATTATTACTAATACGTTACCTTTGACGATCTGCATGGCACATGCATGATACACCTGCTCCTGAGTCGTGTTTGGTGGGAATACGCGGTCAAAAACATATGGCTTCCCCTGGGGCAGAAACAAAAGACAGCAAACATCAGCAGGCAGTGAGAGAGGAAGGCAATGCCGCACCTCGCTCCCATCAGCTGGGAAGGCACCACTCTTTAACTCCGTGCGGGGACGACGGTGGGGCTGAGCAGGACGAGAAACAGGCAAAGCCGAATCCTGCCTTCAGTGGTAAGGAATGACACTGTGGAATGTGACATAAGATCTTGTGAAGGGATCTCAGTCCTGCTGGTATGATTCAGCATTCCACCGCACGGACCCCTTCCCTGAGAAGAACAACGGGAGAAAAAGAACAGGGCCACCGTGGAGAGTCAAGAACGAAGTCAGGTAACATTAAAAAAATCGACCCGTTGGAGTGACAGTACAGCCAGGACTGAAACCTGAGCGCAGCACTGGCCTTGCTCGTGGTTGACACAGGTTCAATACCCGGCATCCCATATGATACCCCAAGCACCTCCAAGAGTAATTCCTGAGTGCAGAGCCAGGAGTTACCCCTGAGCATTGCTGTGTGTGGCCTCAAAACAAACCAAAAAAATCTATCTGTAGGAGCCAGAGCAATAATAGTACAGTGGGTAGAAAGCTTGCCCTGCACAGGGCCAAATCAGGTTCAATCCCCAGCAGCACATATGGCCCCCTGAGCCTACCAGGAGTGATCCCTAAGTGCAAAGCTAGGCGTAAGCCCTGAGCACTGCCGGCCCCAAACCAAAAAGCAAACAAAAAATATACTTGCAGGGTCTGGGAGATCATTCAAAAGGCTGCAGTGCATGTTCTTCAGGAAGAAACAGAACATGCCTGGTTCTATCCCTAGCACTACGTAGGCCCTTGAGCACCACCAATAGTGACCCCTGAATACAGAGCCAGGAGTGCCCCCCAAGAGCTGCAGGCATATAGCCCCCAAAAACATGCAAGAAAAATCTTTCAGTTTAAAATTATCTTTCTCTGGGGGCTGGAGCAATAGCACAGCAGGTAGGGCATTTGCCTTACACGTGGCCGACCCAGGTTTAATTCCCAGCATCCCATATGGTCCGCTGAGCACCGCCAGGAGTAATTTCTGAGTGCAGAGCCACGAGTAACCTGAGCATCGCCAAGTGTGACCCAAAAAGCAAAAAAATTAAAAATTAAAAAATAAATAAATAAAATAAAACGATCTTTCTCAATGGGCTAGGGAGACAGCTCAAATGGTAGAACACACGTTTATACCATGCACCAGGCCCTGAGTTTGATCCCTGACTTATGGTGCCCCAAGCCCATCAGTATTTATCCCTGAGCACAGAGCCAGGAGTCAGCCCTGAGCACGGCTGAGTGTGGCCCCCAAACAAACGAACAAACAAACAGAAAAAATGATGAGGATCAAGGAGATAGCTCAAAGGGTTAGTGCACATGCTTTGCATGCTGGATGCCTGGTGCTCAAACATTACGCTGGGAACCGCCCTGGCGGGAGGGGGGGTGGGGGGGAAGGGGAGGCAAAACAAGACATGCACAAAAAGATGAATACGCCATTTGCAGCAATGTGAATAGATCTAGAGGGTGTTCATTTGCTACTGAACCAAGTCAGGGAAGAAAGACAGACCCCACATGACTTCACTCACATGTGGAAAATAAAGAAAACTTATGAACAAATAAAACAAAAATATTTAGATTACAAAAAATTAGCGGCTACTAAAAATGAAGGAGGCGAAGAAGTCGGAAAAGCAGATAAAGGGAGTCAATTGTATAATGATAGGTGGGAATGAGATTTTTTGGTGGTGAACACTGTAGTTCAGATGTTGATTTATAATTCTGTGTATGCATGACCTACAGATACACATCAATGTTATTTCGTTATAAAATTTAAAAATAGTTCTATAAGAAAACGCTATCATAGAACGTTAATAGGATCTGGAGAGATACCAAAGGTGTGGAGCGCATTCTTTGCATGTGTGAGGCCCCCACTTTGATCTCCCGCACTGCATGGTCCCCAGTATGGTTGAATATGCAACCTGGTGACCCGAGATCCACAAGGTGGCCCTGGTGGCCCCTACAACCCCAGTTTGACCAATGAGCCATAGGCCTGCATTACCCGGGAGGCTGAATATCGTAAGGTGAGGGCCTTAGTCCCTCAGAACTGCTGGGGAGCCGCTCAACTAAGTCTCACAGAACATCAATAAGTCTAAAAAATGTGCTGAATGATGAGAAGGGTCAGATGGCTGTGGCAGAATGGATGTTTCTGAAAAGCCAGTCTCGCAAGAAGGAAAACCAGACAGGGCATGCTTTATTTATCTTAGTCAAAACTACCATTTAAACAGTCTCAAGTAGCAGGTAAAATGAATATTGTCACAAATTGTGTTAAAGCATGAGTGCTGATTAGTAGTGATATCAAAAGTTCAGGATTGTTTTGATACTTGTATTTGTAATTTTAAAAAACATTGTGGAGGGGCTGGATTGATAGCAAAGTGGGTAGGGCCTTGCATGCGGCCAGCCCAGATTCGATTCCCAGCATCCCATATGATCCCCTGAGCACCGCCAGTTGTCATTCCTGAGTGCAGAGCCAGGAGTAACCCCTGAACATCGCTGGGTGTGACGCCCCCCGAACATTGTTTTAAATATGTGGAAGGGTTGGAGATAGTACAAGAAGGCCGGGTATCTGTCTTGCACACAGCAGACCTAGGTTTGATCTCCAGCATCCAATATGGTCCTCCAGAGAACTCCTGGGAGCAATTTCTGAGTGCAGAGCCAGAAGTAACCTTTGAGCACTGCCATGTGTGGCCCAGAAACCAAATGAATAAAATTAATATAAAAAATATTGTGGGGGGCAGGAGTGATAGCACAGCGGGTAGGGCGTTTGCCTTGCACATGGCCGACCTGGGTTTGATTCCCAGCATCCCATATGGTCCCTCGAGCACTACCAGGAGTAATTCCCGAGTGCATAAGCCAGGAGTAACCCCTGTGCATCGCCAGGTATGAACCAAAAAGCAAAAATAAAATAAAATAGAAAGAATAATAATAATATTGTAGGGAATGAATTTTTGCTAAAAGTCATTTCTATGTGTTGCATGTAATAAACATGGTAAATATTTGTTTACAGTCTTTGATAAACCATGCATATAAGTTTAACTGGAATCAATCAATCAAAGAGGAAATAAATGTATGAATATGTGATTTTGAAATTCCGCCCCTCTCGGAGAGCCCGGCAAGCTACCGAGAGTATTCGATATGCCAGACACAGTAACAACAAAGTCTCCAATGGAGACGTTACTGGGCCCGCTCGAGCAAATCGACGATCAACGGGAGGGCCTTTACCTTACCTTACCTTGAAATATAAATAAAATGTGGAACGTGTAAAAAAAAAATCACTGTACTGTCACTGTCCTCCCGTTGTTCATCGATTTGCTCAAGCGGGCCCAGTAACATTGTGAGACTTGTTACTGTGTTGGGCATATTGGATAGGTCACGGGGAGCTTGCCAGGCTTTGCCGTGCGGGCGAGATACTCTTGGTAGCTTGCCAGGCTCTCCGAGAGGGGTGGAGGAATCGAACTCAGGTGGGCCATGCTGGCTGCGTGCAAGGAAAACGCCCTACCTGCTGTGCTATCGCTCCAGCCCGTAAAAAGAATAAAATAAATAACTAGTGTGCGGAGTTAAATTCTTCACACAAAGTAGCACATGCTGCACTATTTCTTTATATGAAACTTAAATTCCGTAGCGACAGAAGTTAGAACAGAAGTTACTTCAGAGTGGCACTGAGTGGAAGGCAGCGCAAGACAACACTAGATCTTAATCTGGGTAGTGGTTATACGAAAATCAAACTATAGAGAGAGGGCTGAAGAGACCGCACACAGGGTAAGGCACTTCCCTTGTACATGGCTGGGCTGGGTTTGATCTTCAGAACGCCCGATGGTCCCCCAAGTAATGACAGGTGTGTCCCCAAAATCCCCAAATAGGGCCAGAACAATAGTATATCAGGTAAAGCGCTTGCCTTGCAGCTCAATCCCCAGCACTCCATATGGTCCCCCAGTCCCTGCCAGGAGTGATCCCTGAGTACAGAGCCAGGAGTGAGCCCTGAGTACTGCTGGGTATGACCCAAAACAAGCAAAAGAAAAAACATATTTACATATATGTGTGTCTGTGTGTGTCTATGTGGAATTCTTCCAGCTATTACATCAGCTGACACGATCCTGAACTGGGTTGCAGTCCAGAAGCAAATCACATAACTCACATGCATGAGGCTCTGAATGTGACCCCTGCAGCCAAAACCAAAAACAAAAATGAAAACAAAATTTTGCAATAATAGCTCTTAAATAGGGCTTTACACCTGGAATTAAATAGGAATTTACAGTGTCCTATCCACTGTACTATCTCTCTGGCTTCTCTATCTTGACCCTATTATAACATTTCAATTTTGTCATGTGTAAGGCTTATTTTCAAATTAAACATTAGGGGGCGAGAGAGATACTACAGTGGGTAAAGCACTGGTCTTGGATGTGACCAACCCAGGTTCAATTCCCAGAGGACTCCATATGGTTCTGTGAGCATCACCAGGAATAATCTTTGAGCACAGAGCCAGGAGTAAGACCTGAGCACAGCCAGGTGTGGTCCCAAAACAAAATTAAATTAAATATTTTTAAATGTGGGGCATGGACTGGAAAGATAGTATAGCAAGTAGGATGCTTGCCCTGCACCCGGCCAGCCTGAGTTTGATCCCTGGTATCCCATATGGTCCCCGAACCTGCCAGGAGTAATTCCTGAGCATCGCCAGGTGTGGCCCAAAAAATCAAAACAAACAAGTAAATAAATGTGGGGGCCAAAGCTAGAGTACAACAAGTAGGGCACTTTCCTTGCACACAGCTGACCCAGGTTAGATCACCAACACCACGTATGGTTACTCTTGCTGGGAGTGATCTCTCAGTACAGAGCCAGGAGCTAGCCCTGAGCACTGCTGGGCATGGCCCCCAAAAAACAGGAGAGAAAAAAAGTGTAAATGGTAAATGTAAAAAGACATTTTATTAGTGAAAAAAGCAATTCCAAAA